TATAACTGAATATATAAATAACTAGTTAGACGTATAAATGAATAAATGAATAACTGATTAGACGTATAACTGAATATATAAATAACTAGTTAGACGTATAAATGAATAGATGAATAACTAATTAGACGTTTAAATGAATAGATTAATAACTGATTAGATGTATAACTGAATATATAAATAACTAGTTAGACGTATAAATGAATAGATAAATAACTGATTAGACGTATAAATAAATAGATTGATAACTGATTAGACGTATAACTGAATATATAAATAACTAGTTAGACGTAAAACTGAATATATGAATAACTGATTAGACATATAAATGAATAGGTGAATAGCTGATTAGACGTATAAATGAATATATGAATAACTGATTAGACGTATAAATGAATAGATGAATAACTAATTAGACGTATAAATGAATAGTTTAACAACCTTCAGCCAAAAGAATCCAAAAACTGTCCAACGGAAACCAAATTTAACAGGTTCTCTCCACCCATCAAATAACTAAAAATCCAGTATAATAATTTTTCATTAAACATTATTTTTTGTTGTGAAAATGCTGAAATTTAAATTTAGAATATTTTTCAAACTTGGTGAAATCCCGGCCTTTAATAAAAGAAAGTAGCGCTGAAAAAAATTAGTTATCACTTTATTTCTAAACAATTAGTGAATGAATTTTTCCTTGAGGAAGATTAATGCTTCTTTAGTTGGAAGCTCATCTGCGTCCAGGAGAAGGAAAATGTCGTCTTCTCTGAAAAGAGTATTTTATAAAAAAAGTTTAAAGTTTTTTAAAAATTGAAGTGTACTATTATTTCATTGTTTTATTATTTCTTTCCTTTCATACAGCAATTATGCAGTTACAGTTTTGCTTGGTTGATTTTTAAGCTATTTTCTGTTAACATTAATTGCTTTAAAGCAATATCAAATACACATATAATTGCTTTAAAGCAATATCAAATGCACATATAATTTCTTAAATGTCGTCTCCCTTTTCCACAGTTTTTTACCATTGGCATTAAATATCTTAATTCTAATGCAAAATCAAAGCAGCCAAAATGATATTTTAAATTTAATGTTGGTTAGACTTTCAGTTTCTGAGTTCTAAAACTAATATTTTTGCAAAGGCAAGAATTATTCTATAGCACGCCATTCATTTTACATCAAAAGAGAGATAAAAAATTGTTAAGTCGCTTACAAGAACTCAAAAACCTTTTTTATCAAATGCTCTGCAGAAAAAGGATTTCGAACAAAAATTAAATAAATTTGAAAAACAGTGATCCCCATAAAACTGTGAAATAGGAAAATGACAATCTTTGTTTATTTGTTGTTGCTTGAAACCCAATGGTTTTACTAGAAGATTAAAGGAATTGAGTCTTCGCCACAAACTCTGATTTTCTAATCACTTTATCTTTGGAACCAAATGTTGCAGACCTTAGATACTTCAAACTATGAATGATGTTAGATCAAATAATCTGAGTTTGAAATATCAAAAGTTAACAACATTAAGTTCTAACGATATTGTGGTTTAGATATTTGATTTTGTTCCAAAGACTCAATTCCTTTTAACTTATTAAGTGATATGGGTCTTAAACGTACACTGCACAATTGCTGTGAATTATTTTGATTGGACAAATTACATAATTACATATTTTGTTTTAAAAACGTTTTTGTAACCATAGTATTAGGAGGCAGCGCGTAAACTTAACTACAAGTTGTGCATACAAGATTGCATACAACTAACTACAAGATGTGCATACAACTAACTACAAGATGTGCATACAAGGTTTGCATACAAGATGTGCATACAACTTACAAGATGTGCATACAAGATGTGCATACAACTAACTACAAGATGTGCATACGAGATGTGCAACAAGATTTGCATACAAGATGTGCATACACGATGTGCTTACAACTAACTACAAGTTGCCTATCGGAACATTTTTAGCCAGATTTTAATATCTCATTTAAAATTCGCCAAAAATAGCGTAAGAAATTTTTTGTGCTGATTATTGAAGCAGAGCATTTTCTCTTCTAATACACAAAATTAAAGGTAGAGAATCTACGAGGTCAAAAAATCCCACCTGGTATTTTCTATCATTTTCATCCCGTTCTTGCCAAGGAAAAAGCGAAGAAATGAATCCGCATACCAACCATTAGTTTCCCCTTCCTAGAACAATAGGTTCAAGTTTTAAATGTCGGAACTATGTTTTAACCCTGAAAAGATTAACAGTATAAAAGTTTTCACCTCTGGAAATTTATTTATTTATTTTTGTGGATATACAAACAGACAAGCCAAATTTATACATAGATACTAGGGTTTTAGGGCGCTTCGCGCCCATCTTCTATTTAAATTGTGAACATGTTCTTTTTATTTACATTTAAAAGCAAAGAAGAAAAAAATTTTGCGGATTTAAAAAAAAAAATTCGCGGATTTTCAAGAGTTTAAATTTTTTTTACAAAATTAAAAAACCTTTAAAACACATTTATTTTTTATTTTTATCATTCCTAAACCTTCCCTGGGATAACGCTAGGTGCCACAAAAAATTTGGGCCCGATCGGTTTAACCGTTTTGACGTTTATTGGATACAAACAGACAAACAGACAAGCCAAATTTATATATAGATGAAATGTTGACTAATATCTGTTACCTTCGGAAAAAATGAAAGGAAGACGTACATTATTTTATCCTAAACAAAACTAATTTTCACATTTTTCACATTTTTAAATTGTACAAAAAAATGGAATAGGATCTACAAGTCCTACTTAAGTTAACAACGATAATAGTAATAATGAGAATGCTGATAAAAATAATAATCATAATAATAATAGTAATAATAATTATAATAATAATAATAATCATGATATTTGATTATTCTATATTATCAACAACAAATTTAAGAGAATAATAATAAATGTGAATTTCCTGAAAGTTCTCCAACCAACCTGACTGAAATCTCTCCAAAAATCTACAGAGAAAAATTCAAATATGGTTAGAATTTAATTTAGTAATTTACTTGAAAGGAATTACGGGTTTGCCACAAACATAACAGATTTCGCAGTTTAAAATGTTTAAGGTCTACGACATCGATTGCAAAGATATAGTTCCTCCTAGATCTGAAATTCAGAGGTTCTGGCTTAGCTATAATTCACATATTTGAATATTATCACTTTATGGTCTATAGTTGAACCATCTTTAAACTAACGGAGTTGTCTTTTTATACTTTTCCATTTAAATGTAAGTTCCCACAACATTCTTTAAAAGAAAAAAAGGCAAAAATTTATGTCAAACAGTCACAGAGCTTACTAGGGTAGGGACCGAACTGTAAAATTAGCGTGGGTGGGTTTGTTCAGAAGGAACCAGAAAACTGAATCAACTTTTATCCGTATTTTTTGTAAATAAATATTTCCCAGATGTAAAAACTAAATATACAAAGCTATGGAAGTTCCTGCCCATGTTGTCTGGCTTTGTAGCATTAAAAAAATTTAAAATTTTATTTCTCTACGATCCTGAGAGGTTTTCCAGTTCCGTAAGCAGAGTAGTTGGACTCAAGGAGTAAATATGCGTCCACAATTCCATCTACAGATATTTCAGAATATATTTATATGCGTGCACAATTCCATCTACAGATATTTCAAAATATATTTAAATGCGTCCACAATTCCATCTACAGATATTTCAGAATATATTTATATGCGTCCAGAATTCCATCTACAGACATTTCAGAATATATTTACATGCGTCCACAATTTCATCTACAGATATTTCAGGATATATTAAGTTGCGTCCACAATTACATCTACAGATAATTCAGAATATATTTATATGCGTCCACAATTCCATCTACAGATATTTCAGACTATATTTATATGCGTCCACAATTCCATCTACAGATATTTCAGGATATATTAATATGCGTCCATAATTCCATCTACAGATATTTCAGAATATATTTATATGCGTCCACAATTCCATCTACAGATATTTCAGAATTAATTTATATGCGTCTACAATTCCATCTACAGATATTTCAGAATATATTTATGCGTCAAGTATATACATTAGATCGAAAACTAATATTTTCAATTCTGGTTTCTCTACACTAAAGACTTGCGCATTTCTACTGCCGAAAATATATAGGAATTATTCAAATTAAACATTTGTAAACCTTGAAAAACGACAATATCTTCCACACTAATAATACTAAAGAGGTTGTGTTGTGACCATGCATGTGTTGCATGCAGAGAATAAATGAATAAATGAATAAATGAATAAATGAATAAATGAATAAATGAATAAATGAATAAATGAATAAATGAATAAATGAATAAATGATAAATGAATAAATGAATAACTGAATAAATGAATAAATGAATAAATGAATAAAGAACCTGAAATGAGAAAACCACGCGGATTGCGGAATGCCGCAATATTTTCCGTAATATCCTTGTACACACACACACACCTCCACACTTCTAAACAAATAAAAAACTTTACATTGATTCTGTGGCTGAAATTCGGATATCACTTTAAAGAATGAACAACAATTAATAATAGTAATAAGTTGATATATTTTTAAAGATAAAAACATGGCTATCTCATGCTTTTCATTATCATTCAAAGCTTTTAAGGGTCACTTCAAATCAAGAATTCATAAAATAATTTAGCTGTTATCTAAATTGATGCTTTGCCACAAATTCAAATTTTATAATCTAATTATCTATGCAAGCTGATGGCGTACGATAATAAAGATTTAGGGATTAGAAAGTCAGAGAGTGTGACAAAGAATCAATTTCTTTAATGCTGATTACACACTAAAAAAGATGAAAAATTATAATTTAAAAATGAATTAAAACCTTGTAAAGTCAGTTCCGTTAATGTAGCACTGATATTTACCAACCGTCTTGAAGTACGTTCTAGAAAAATAAAAAATTAGGTATGTTTAAATCATAATGATAATAATAATTATTAAAATAAATTTATTTTGACATTTAAATTCATAAAATAAAGCATTTTTTACAATTAGGCCGGGGAGTGAGGACTTCAAGATCTGAAACCATTATAAATTAAGCCCTGGTACATACAAAATTTTACATAGATAAAATAAAAGGATCAAATTAAAACGTAATAGATAAAAACAAGAACAAAATAAAATGGACGTGTCGCTCAAATATCAAAAGAAAACAAAGCAGAAAAGATACGAGGAAGGATTAGTGATTCCCAGAAAACAGAACGAATACTAACTAAATTTTAAAGTTAATAAAATAAATAGTAATGCAAAGACCGAAAAAGTGCCAGTTTTGAAAGACATTTGATAGTTCAATGTTTTAATCCTTTAATATAAATAAAAAGTTGAAATCTGAAAATGGCACATGTGAGGGTGTACGTAGATGTTATAATTGAAAAAGTTTAAGGATGCTGAACTCCCAAAAACGATATTTTAACCTAACTTTATAAGATTTGTCCAACTGACTGGCAAGAAATTGTGACCCCATATAGTATTTATCAAATAGATTATCAAGTACAATAAATGGCAACAGAGAAATGGACCAAAAATACACGACGTCACAAGTGTCAAATATAACAAGGAAAGCAAAATTTACTCACATTAGTTGACATGTTTTCCAAGATTAAATAAAAAAGTTTAAAACCAGAAAATAAAGAACACATAAAATTGCACTTATTTTACTGTAAGATAAGCACTTATATCTAAAATTATCACTATTATTAATAATTTTGTCGGACACAAAAACTAAGTTGACACTTGTGACGTAAGAATACAGCTGTACTGAGAGTGTACAAATACTGCGTTGCCATCTATTGTACTTAACAATCTATTTGATGAACACGAGTTCTCTATAAATCTAATTTGATATGAAGCGCCCATAAATTGAAGGNATAGATTATAATAATAATAGATAAATATAGATTATAATAATAATAGATAAACATAAATTATAACAATGATAAATTAATATACATTGGGCATAATACGCCATCTTTTAAACTAATTATTTTGAGTACAGATATATACTTTTCAAAGCAAAATATGAAAAATGTTACATTTGAGAAAAGGTTCCCGAAATACAGGGTTACTCACAAAGAATGAGATTTTAGCGGCGACTGTATAGATTATGTTCAGACATTTTTTTATGACATTGACGGTGATCCCTAAAATTGTAAACTAATTGCTCTCCGCCAAATCAAATCAATATCTAAGATTTTTGAAAAAGTTTAAACCTCAGAATATCAGACCTAAAGTGTTGAAGGTCGTCATTCAAGTCTCCTCCTGTGTGTGTATACCTGTATTTAATCACTAAGTTACCTGCTGAAAATGAAAAGAGTCTACCCGGAGTAGAATAAAAAACCAAAATATCAACTAAAGAAAGTATTGAAAATATTAATTTAATTGCCATTATCATTTTTATCATCATAATTATTATCATTATCGTCGATCATTATCAATGTCATTTTTACTATCATAATTATACTATAATGATATCACTTAGCTATCAATTTTTTCGATTTTTCTATTCATTATCATAATCATAATAAAAAATAACAAATAAATAACATCAATAAAATCATTATAAAAATAACTATTATCATGACATAATTATATTAATTTATAATTTTTTCGATTTTTCAATTTGTTATCATAATTATTATCATGATAATACTATATTAAGTTTTTAAAAAATAGTTTTTTCTGTTGAACAAAATTTCGATTTTTCTATTTGTTATCATAACTTTTATCATGATATTACTATATTTAGCTTCTTTATTGCCAATTTTTCTTTTTATAGAATAATTATAATTAATTACCTGAGTCCAAATAAAAACTTTAAGAAATAATTCTTTTCCCTTTCTTCTCTGTAGTATTTTAAACATTTCATCTAAATTCATGATCATAAGGAATTGTGTACACTGTACACTGTACATGTACAAAGTTACAATTACAATTACAGTTTCCAATAGCCACTGTATACAGTAGGGGCTAGTGGAAACTATGGAATAGGAAGACGACATTGAAACAATCTTATGTGTATTAAATGTTGTTTTACAGGTATCTTGAAAATCAATTTATTTAGTGAAAAGAGTTTGTATTCACTGCATAATTTCATTGAACTCATAGATAAATAACAATACAGAACACTAGATGTCGTCTTTTTAAGATTTAGGGGTGACGTTCACAATAACCCTAAGGCAGAAGCCCAAAGAAGTTACGCGTATGCTGTGTTGAATGACAAAACCCTTAAAAGCCTTTTCTGATCAAATATGAATTAGATATCAATGTGTATGATTTCCAAAACTGATTATTTTCAATTGTGGCTTCTCTGGAAAATTCTCTTGCGCATTTATAATGCAGGAAAACCAATAGGAATTATCACAATTAAGAACTTATAAACCTAGAAAAACGATAATATCTTCCACATTATTGATCAGATCAAGGTTTCAAGGGTACCGTTGTGAATCGGGTATTGTCATCCTTGCATGAAGGGTCACTTGAAATTACGCCTACAGTCCCTTTAACATCTCAAGATTTTAAATGTTTACCCCAGCCCTATTTTAAATCCTGAAACTGCCGTCGTCACTTATTGAGTAAAATGGGTCTGTTTACATGGAACAATTACTGTGTCTCATATTTAATGGACTATTAAAAGTCATAACTTGAGTCTAAAAGTCGAATTCCTATTCCAGAGCTTCCTGATTCTCACTGTATAGCGAATATACATATCACTAAAGCAATAAGTGTGTATAGTTCACTGTAATAATATCCAAAGATATTCACTAAATATGAGGTGCAATCAAGTTATTTATAAAAGTGTAAAAATCACCTTTAATTTCCTTAAATAACATTGTTGACGTAAGTACATATATATATATATATATTACGCGCTTTCCTTAGAACCAACAACTACATATGTGTAATATACAGGTATAAAATAATGGTACACACACACCTTCTATCTGTCTATATATCTATCTATCTATCTAGCTATATTTCAATAGAAACTGCAAGCACAAAAGCGTAACACCTTTTTCAACTCGAAATAAAAAATAAAAATAAAAATAAAAATAAAACAGGACAGGAAGTTATTATACTAATTAAGAGGGTTTTAATTACAATATTCAACGGAAGGACTGCTTCTAAAAATCTCAGGTGAACAATAATTATCGGAATGCCTGGTCCCGGGAAAATGAATTTCCCTTCCGTCTCTCCTGCAGTCATCTGTTACGGTTCAATGGCAAGCTCAGAATTAGAAAATAATTCGTTCAAAACACATTCAGGTTGTTAGACAAGAAACATAATATAGACATACAGTGAGAGTTAACAAACATGAAGCATAATGTAAATATACAGTGAGAGTTAATAAGCATGAAACATAATATAAACATACAGTGAGAGTTAATAAACATGAACAAACATACAGTGAGAGTTAATAAACATGAAACATGAACAAACATACAGTGAGAGTTAATAAGCATGAAACATAATATAAACATACAGTGAGAGTTAATAAACATGAAACATGAACAAACATACAGTGAGAGTTAATAAACATGAAACATGAACAAACATACAGTGAGAGTTAATAAATATAAAAAAGAATATAAACATACAGTGAGAGTTAATAAACATAAAACAGAATATAAACATACAGTGAGAGTTAATAAACATAAAACATAATTTAAACATACAGTGAGAGTTAAAAAACATGAAACATAAACAAACATACAGTGAGAGTTAATAAATATAAAACAGAATATTAACATACAGTGAGAGTTAATAAACATAAAACATAATATAAACATACAGTGAGAGTTAATAGACATAAAACATAATTTAAACATACAGTGAGAGTTAATAAACACGGAACATGATCAAACATTACAGTTAAAAAACATAAATCATTATCTAAACATAAAGTGTGAGTTAAATACATGGAACATAAAGATGTAAATACAGTGAGAGTTAATAAACATGAAACAGGAGCTAAACATTTACAGTGAGAGTTAATAAACATGAACCATAAACATTAAATTAAGTATATACATATGCGAAAGTCACTAAAAAAATAAATCAATAGTTTGCAGAGAAAATGCAGAAAATGTCAAGAAAAGGTTTGAAAAAGAACCAAAGTTAGGAAGGAAATGCGGGAAAATGGGATTTGTTCGCGGGCGATCTTTTTTCTTCTTCGTTTTCTTTGTTTGCACATTCACACAGTTTATTCTTTATATATATTCAGGTTAGATTTCAGTAAATTTATTTTGTACAAATAATATATTTGTTTTTGTGATGTCTGTTATCACAGTACATTCCAGTTTATTTCATGTACCGGGCCGAATTTCAACTAGCCAATGCAAGTAGTAAAAATATAGACTATATTAGGAGAAACGGGATTGTACAGCCAAATGAATGATTCCCTTCTGAAGAAATTTATGTGATATACGTCTTTATTTTTTTTGTAATATGTCTAACATACATCTTTGTTTTTTTCATATGTCTAATTTACGTCTTTATTTTTGTAATTTGTCTGATATACGTCTTGATTGTTTTTTTATCTGTCCAATATACGTCTTTAATTTTGTGATATGTCCGATATACGTCTTGATTGTTTTTGTGATATGTCTAGTAGGTTGGTCGATTTACATACTTTTTCAACCTAGAGGGGCAGTTGGCAAAGTTGGTCAGAACTATTTAAAACCCTCTGGGAGCTTAGGTTTTTCGTTTTCTCAAAAAATTAGTTATTTACCGACCAAACAAAATTTCTTCAAAATATGCCAATAAGAGTATCAAAGATCCGTTTTAAAACACTGGATTCAGAGAAGTCGATTTCAAGTAGATTTGTTAATTATTTAACCAATTAAAGACAAACAACTGTTTTTTTAGTGAAAATTTAGAAAAATCCCATAAAAACTCGTATTTGGCCATAAATCAAACAATTATACATATATCAAAAAAACTTCTAATTTTCAAAATATTTTTGGGTTTTAAAAATGACTTTTTTGCGAAAATGGCCGCGCGATCGCCATTTTGAAAGATTTTTGATTATTTTTTTTTGCAAAGTTCTTAAAATATTTAGGTGCAAGTATCATTAGGCCCTCAAGCTTGGTTCCAAGCCCAAATGTCTAGTATTGTCTTTTTTGTTTTGTTTTTAGTGATAAATCTGATATACGTCTTTGTTTTTGTGATCGTTCTAGTATATGTCTTTTTTGTGATATGTCAGATTAAGTCTTTGATTTTGTAATATGTCTAGTATATATTTTTTATGTGATATGTCTAATATATGATTTTGTGATATGTCAAATATACTTCTTTGTTTTTGTAATTTGTCTTATATATACGTTTTCATTTTTGTGATTTGTCCAGTATACGTGTTTGCAAGTTGTCTAATATACGTCTTTGTTTTTGTGATTTGTCTAATATACGTCTTAGTTCTTGTGATATGTCTAATATTAGTCTCTTGTGAAGGACTTAATGAACGCCAATGTTCTTTAGAGTGTCTAAATTGACGTCTTTGTGTGAATCCAGCGAACAAATCTCTACGCCTATGTTTATGCTATTATGTGATATCCATATTCAAAATTACGTTTGTGTGATTTTTGTATTCCAGAATTTCTTTTTATGAAAAAGAAGTAAAATTTTTAATTACTTTTTTATTAAATTTAAATTATTTCAGTTAACTATGCCGGAGTTCACAGCAATACTAATAGGAAAGCAAAAATTAACGAATACATTTAGTGTTTAATCAATCTCATTTAAAAATTACAAAATTATCTTTGTAAACGAAAAATAAAATAACTATTTTAGAAGTACATTTATTGCTTCTAGTTGTAAATACATGATAAATAAAGAGTGTATAAAAGGAGAGGAAGTTGAGAAGGTCTTCTCCGGTTCCAGGGTCCGACACAACTGATTTGCGGATTTCCTAATCCTCTTTCGGGGATTTCATATCCTCTACACTATTCAAATTAACCACTAAGATTTCTTCACTACCTTTCATACGAAGTGTATGAACCAAGTTCCCTTTTAAATTATCATAAATATTTTTTTCTAAAATCTTTTATGCAATTGTTTTTTTTTTTAATGTTTTTCTTTAAAAACATGTTTACCAAGTAAGACGACAATGCCTGATTTAAAGCGACCCTTGCAACCTTAATCTGATGAGAAAGGAATTGAGTCTTTGCAACAAATTCTGATTTTCTAATCTTTATCTTTGGTACCCGAGGTTGCAGACCTTTGATATTTCAAACTATAACTATAACTTCTGTTAGATTACATAACCTAAGTTTGAAATTTCAAAGGTTTCTACCATCAGGTTGCAAAGATATGTGGAAAAGAAAAAAAAATTGTGGCAAAGACTCAGTTTCTTTAGAAGATAAAGACTGAGTCAAAAAGTGTTAGATTCCGATAATTTTTCAATGTTTCTTAAAAACAAGAAATGCACAAGTCACTCTTGCAGAGAAACCGCCAAAAAAAAATAAAATTTAAAAAACATGGATATCTAATTATTACTTGGTAAGACAAAGCATTTAAGGGTTCCGTTGTAAATCGGACTTTGCCTTTTTTTCAGGAAAGTTTATTTGAAATTACCAGTGCTTTAAATCCTTTAAATCAAAACCCAATGAGAATTATTTTTGCTTTATCGCAGTGAGCACTCGGTGTTATTTACCACGTCTAGACAACTACATCTAGCGGACACTTTTAGAATCAACACATCACTGCTCCAGCCTACACCAAGTCACATTCAAGTCATAAATGCAACTGTCACAGCTAGTCAAAGAAAAAATATGTTTCTAGAGTCCGAAGTAGAAAATAAGCCTTCTGTACATAGAAACAATAGTCAACTTGTACATTACGATTCCAGTACTTTTGAACACAGTGAGTATAACAACTTTGTACATAGAGAGCATGACAAATCTGTACATAGAAAACATGAAGTATCTGTACATAGAGAGCATGACAAATCTGTGCATAGAAACTATAAAGAATTTGAACATAGAAAGCAAAGCCAACTTGTTGACACATCTGCTGACTATGGAAAACCTATTAAAAATAAATGTCAGGTAAAAGAAAAAATATATTACATATTTTTTATAAGACTTCAGAGACGACAGCAAGAGTCTTTTCTCTTACAACTATCACTTCCCTGAGGTTGTAAACCATTGGAAGGCTAAATTGAAGGCAGAACACCAAATCTAACATTCAGATCGTAATATTAAAATAGTTTTCGGTCGTCTTTTTAGTCGCATCTTTTATGTATATTGAATAACACTGTATATTTTTCCTGCCATAACTTTATCATTAAAAAATCTCATTGGCACAAAATGAAATTTGTACAAAATTTCATTGTCTTTTAATATTTGCAATATTATTTTACACAAGAATGAGACTTCAGAGTGGACTGTACAGAATTTAATAAGACTTTTTTTCTTACATTCGGGGTTTCCTCACAGACTTCAGCCAAATCTTCTGATATGCCATTTAAAGACTAGATAAAAACAGAAATTCGAATTGAACCTTTTTATTGCTAAATCATTTCATTTAAGTCTTATCTTTTGTGGGTAACCCTGATTTCATGATATCAGTATGTTTCTTTTTAGAAAAAAAAACAATATTTATTAATTTTTTAGGGACATGATGTGCCCGAGTTTTCTGTGTTGGTGTCATGTTTTCAACCTTCACTCACTATTCCTGGTTTTAAATCTTGGATAGGTAGAATTTACCAAATAGATTCTAGTACATACAATAGATGTAGAATTTGTCCACTCTCAGTACAGCTGTATTCTCACGTCACAAGTGTCAATTCAGTTTTTGTGTCAGACAAAATTATTAATAATATTGATAAGTTTAGAATAAAGTGTTTATCTTATAGTGAAATAAGTGCAATTTTTATGTGTTCTTTTATTTCTGTATTTACACTTTTTTATTTAATCTTGGAAAACATGTCCGCTAATGTGAGAAAATTTCATTTTGTTTTTATATTTGACGCTTGTGACGTCGTGCATAGTTGGTCTATTTCTCTGTTGCCACCTATTGTACTTGATAATCTATTTGGGATTTACTCGTAAAAGAATAATATTACAAAGAGATAAAGACACTATCCCTACTGTTTAAAACAAAGTATGTCCGCTTCACGTCAGAACCCTTTAAACTTTACTTATCCAATAGTGTTGTAGATGTCGTCATTTTTATAGTTGGAGTGTTAGAATTTAACACTCCATTCTTTCTGTTAAATAGAATCCTTGATGAAAATAATCAATTTTCAAAGTTAAGAACATAGATATCATCTACATTCTTGTTCAATGTTCAAACATGCCTGAAGGGACTGTAAGTATATATATATACACTAAACAAGGTGTCCCCCTTAACTCCATCATTTTTAAAGATATCTAAGTTCTCTGAGAAGCTAATGAAAGATGTGAATGGCACGTTTGTAAATTTACTGAAACATAAAAGATTTTTTTTTAATAAATGTTCGCAAGTATCTCTTGGAATCTGGAATGCATATTGCTCAACAATCATCTTTAGCTCAGGAATTATTTAGATTTCCTCTTTTTGACTTGGCCACTGCAGCCCCCCAGAAGTAAAAATAACAGATTATCAAAAGTGCCAATCTTATCTTTTAATAGCTTTCGAGAAAACTTAGATAGCTTTAAAAATGACGGAGTTATTAGCGTTTGAAAATTCGCAATAAAAAAACCCCACCCTGTACAAGATTCTTTCTTGCTCGATCATCTAGTGAGTCAGATGAAGACTAAATATAAGATTAGGTTTCTTCAGGTTCACAGTCACGTAGTTAAAGACATGGTTGGTAGAGTAACCAATCATATTTATTTCTTCAGAGCTGAACACTTTAGAATAGGATATCCTTAATCCCGATCAGTTAATTATTTGGAGAATAACAAGAGGAAAACAAGCATTTTTTAATAATAAGAATAGGAAAAAGAGTGAATCAAGCATTAATCCCGATATCCACCAAAAGTTTCCAGTTTAGGACAAATGTTTAAACTGAAAAATACATATTTTTAGATATACGATTGACAATTTTTAAGAGAGTATATAAATAAATACGAAAATTGACAAACCTGAAAGGTTTACATACCATTGACACTCGGATGATGGAATAACTCCTACAGTCAAATGATACAATGAGTATATTTTGAACTTTGCAGTACGCTTCGTTTACCAAAACAAAAAAACCTGTTTATAAAAAACAGTTACTATTAAGGATTGTGAAATTTACATTTACAAGTATGAAAAAGTATAACCTTAATTGGTTTGGAAATTTCCATATACTAGAAATTCAAGGCGCTTCGCGCCCTTCTTTCTAGCCTTAGAGGCCGCTTCGCGCCCATCTTCTAAATTAATTGTGAAAATGTTCTCTTTTTGTACATCGTAAACCAAAACAAAAATAATGCGCGGATTTTCACAAAAAATTTCGTGGATTTTCAAAAATTTGATGAAGATCGAATTTTGATAGAGACAAATATTTGAAATTTTGATCATTCATAAACATTCCCTAGGGTCCCTAGATGTCCCACAAAAAAATTGGGCCCGATCGGTTCAGCCGTTTTGACGTTTATTGGATACAAAAAGACAGACAGACAGACAGACAAACAGACAGACAAGCCAAATTTATATATAGATCTCGAAATGAAATGCACCAAACATTCAGTTTTCAAATTCAATGAGATCCAGATTCATATTTAAGTCTCAACCTTCGTGAGTAGCATTTACAAAAGGGGTTATTACAACTAGGATTGTTAATCTTAAAAAAAAAAATTTTCAACCGTTTTTTGTTAGAATTGCTTTTATCGTTTTCTGTTGCTTTCATTAAACGAACAAATTAACGATCGTAAATTAACATTTTCGTGTTCAATTGGTTTTCTGTCAAAGTTTTCTGCACATATTTTCTCACAGAGTCAAAATTTGTCGTAATGTGTAAGAAAAGCTAATTGCTTTTCTTACACATTACGACATTAGAAAACAATTTGGAATTTCGTAAAAGTTCAGAATTTTGTGGAACTCTGCAATAACGAAGCAAAAGCAAACCAACTAGTATTTTCTTGTATTGTCAAGGAGATCAGATTACTGAGCTGGTTGTGGAGAGAAGGTCAGGAGGACAGATTTCTACCAAAATATCTTGTTCTAGCTTCAGAGCAGGTTCAGATCATTACAACGCAACTAGCGAGGTAAAATATTAATTTCTCGATGAGAAATCTTATTAATTTCTGTTCATCATGTAGCATAAAAGACTTTTAAAAGTTTATTTCTTAACAAAAATGTTTAAATCATAAATATTTTACTGTGAAATCCATTTTACTAAAATATAACTGTCATATAAAAAATGTTATTAGTATCTTTAGTATCAAACAACTTATTAAATTATGAAAGAAGATATTTTAAACTATTCACCAACTGTCAAGTTTCGTCACTCGTGGGACACCCTGTATTTACTAAACCTTCAGACTGATCGTATTCTGAATTGAGAAAGGAAAACTCATCTCACATCTCACATAACAAACAATGATGAATAAAATTCAGTTTGTTTTGAAATCTTGATTGTTTATAGATTTCACAGTTTTCAAAGCTAAATAATCCTTTTAATTAATCTGATAAAAAAATTTTCGGCGCAACGACATTTAATTTAACCTGCCTTCGTTAATACGTCATTTGCTCTCTCACAACGATATTTCGCCATAACGCTATAACTGCTATAGCCTATGGTGCCTCAAAAGGCTTGTCAAAAACCTAAACAGTATTTCATAGAAAAAAAAAAATTTATAGAGGAAATTTTATAGAGATCTAACTCCGTGGTCTAAAATGGGTAAAGAGCAAATATTCAAAAAAGTAAGTTCTATCGTAGTTTTGGTTTAATTTGATTTGGATTTAGCGTTTTGTTCCTTCTCCCTTTCTTCCCAGAGGAAAGCATGAACCTCAAAATACGCAGGTCAACATATAATTACTAATCTCTGTTTGCATGTATGTCCGATCATAACTTATGAACCCCTTGACCGGTTTGGTTCAAATTTTGATTAGCGAACATAGTAGAACCACGGTAATGTTCTTGTCCGGTTTAAAATTCTAAGTTGAATCGGAGGGTTTCAATCGAAAAGAAAAAATCGTTTCGCGAAATTTTTTTTCACAAAAAAATGCGTTTTTTTTTATAACAAATGCAAAATTTTAGCGAAAAAGTTTTGAAAATTCATCAAAAAAGACTAAATTTTGAGAATACAAGACTTATTTTCAAATAGGGATTAATGGATTGATGGATTAACACAAAATATAAATATAGATTTAAGAACGACTATGAAACATCAGACAATTCATAGATTTGCTTGAAAATACTTTCTCGACCGTTAAGATCTTTTTCTTAAAACACTAATTAAAGTCTACTACAGGAAGAACCAAAATAATTCGGAAACTTAAATTAATAGCTAATGAAATCAAATTCTATTCATCAAACATGTATTAAAGTAAAGGAGAAGAACTTATTAATATAACATTAAACTTCAAATATTGAGTTATCAGAGCAGAGAATTCCACAAGTTCTTTTGAGCAATTAATAGTTGCAGCTTTAATTCATGGGTTTCGCGAAATTTTCGTATTTTGCATTTTCTCAAAAAAAAAATTTCGCTTCATTTATTTTCGCGAAAAAATGCGAAATTTCGGATCACATCCTGGAAAAAGATGAATTTCTTTAAGATTTACTGATTTTTTAAAAATTATTTCTCTTATTGGTTTCGTTTTTTTATGTTAAAACTTGATGAACCATTCAGAGAGAGGGGAATTTTTTATTTATCAATTTATCAATTTTTCAACAGTTAAGATTTTTGAGAGCAAAAGATTTTTTTTTGCAGGAAGCCAAAATGTTGCGGATCCGGATCCTTAACACTGCTTTAAACCAATTGTAATCATTACAAGCTAATCAGCTCATTCTGGGCCATACCCCTGGGTTAAGACTGATACCCCTGTATACTTACTAAACTATTGAAGATTGTAATTTTTAAGTAGTTTGCGACACAAAATTTTACGGTCGGCCATTTTTTGTTTTAAAAAATTAACAAGTTCTTACAGTGTAAACAAGACAACAATGTAAAAGGAAGATGACAATATAGCAATAATTTAGTGTATGTGATGTTGTTTCAAAACAAACAATTTTACTATAACACTTATTAAATCACTATTTATGTGCCTTAAGGTCACTTGGCTTTATATAGTTGAATTCTAAAAGTCGTCTTCCCATTTCCGATTTTTCTGGCTAACACTGAAGGTTTTTTTTCTCGAATACAATTGAGCAAGATGTTTGAGTTTTTAAAGAATTGAGATAAATATCTTTAATTTTAGTGAGGAAAGAATATACAGGGATATTTTACAAACAGATATTCAAGAAAAAGAAGAGCATTTTATACAGCTACAGGTACTGCACTTAGTATATATATATATATACAAAACAGGGTGTCCCACTTAACATTGAATTTAAAGGTGACATTTACCAAGTACACAGTCTGAATTAGTGTTAGATGTAATACTGCAGCTAGGTGTCCAATTGTACAGGTTTTTTATGTTAATTTTCAAACGCTAATAACTCCATCTAAGTTCTCTGAGAAGCTAATGAAAGATGTGATTAGCACGTTTGTAAATTTACTAAAACATAAAAGGAACATTATATATACAAATAGATTTTTTAAATAAATGTTCGAAAGTATTTCTTGGAATCTGGAAAGCATATCGCTCAACAATCATCTGTAGCTCAGGAATTATTTAGATTTCCTCTTGTTGACTTCGGCCTCTGCAGCCCCCCAGAAGTAAAAATAACAGATTATCAAAAGTGCCAATCTTATATTTTAATAGCTTTCGAGAGAACTTAGATAGCTTTACTACAAGGATTGTTAATCTTTAAAAAAAAATACTTTTTCTTCAAACTTCCAAAGTTTCCAAACCGTTATCTGTTAAAGTTGTCTACATATATTTTCTCTCAGTGTGTAAGAAAAGCAAATAATTAGAAAACAATTTGGAATTTCGTAAAAGTTCAGAATTTTGTGGAACTCTGCAATAACGAAGCAAAAGCAAACCGACTAGTATTTTCTTGTATTGTCAGGAGATCAGATTACTGAGCTGGTTGTGGAGAGAAGGTCAGGAGGACAGATTTCTACCAAAATATCTTGTTCTAGCTTCAGAGCAGGTTCAGATCCATACAACGCAACTAGCGAGGTAGAATATTAATTTCTCGATGAGAAATCTTATTAATTTCTGTTCATCATGCCAACATTTTAAAAACACAATCGGATCGACTGTCGATGCAGATTGATTCTCAACCTGGTCCTGAGTGAACATGATAAAATATTTTTTTCTATCTGAAAATTGATAGTTTTCGAGAGCGGATCTCCTTCACAGAACAAGTTCCGAATTTTTAAAGCAGAGGCAAGGAATTAAATTGACAGTTGATCTTTTTAAAGCTGAAATATTGAAAATTTAAAGGGTACTTTTGTTCATCTGACATGTCTCGTAATATTGGAGAATCACTTTAAACCACGCCGACAGTCCTTTTTAGAGTTTGTGACTTAAGATCACTAGACCAATTTGTTTAGATTATTTGAAAAAGAGAAGTATGCTTGTAACCGTATCTACGGAACATTGAGAAGAAAAGTATCTCTGCCTAAACCTCATCCTTACTCCTGGTCCTGGTCAACCTTACCTTCCTTCCTAGCTGGGAATATGAGAATACTAACATCTGATACTATACCAAGGTATTCGTCTAACCCTACCTTCCTTCCTAGCTGGGAATATGAGAATACTAACATCTGATACTATACCAAGGTATTCGTCTGACCCTCCTATGGTGCCTNTAATTCAAGAACCTTTCCATGAACAAAATGGAAAAATTAAATTTTTTATAAACTTTTAACTACGATTACACTTACTATGTATAACACTTCATTCTAATTTTCAAATCGATATCTTCTTGTTACCCTGTAACCCTTGGATTCTTAAAATTTGATTTTTTAATCTAGCAGCCTGGTAAAATTTATGGTTAGAATTATCAGTAGGGAACTCGGGCACATAGATTCAGCCTGCTTATAAACTGTATTATCAGTTTTCAAGACATCTAGTGGACTTAGTGTCGCAACGCCTTGGGTTACCGTCCTAACTCACTTATTCTTTTCTGTAGCCCTATACATGTACATTTTTGTTATCTTTGGTTTTTAAGAAGTAATAAGCAAAATTCTCATTGATTTTAGCTTGAGAGCGTGAGATTATAAAATCAAAATAAGATCATAATTTAGGCTTATACAAAGAGTTAAAGATTACCATTGGACCTAGGCATGGAACTTTTAAATAAAAAATCTATCAAAAATTAAGTTAAAAGTCCCTTTAAGAAATTATTCAGGAAATTATGTTTAGACTCCTTGTGGCAGCTGGTGAGGTTCCTCTGCTGACCCCAGGCGAGATCTGGTTAACCGGCATAGTGGCGCAACACGCCAGGGTCATTTCAGTTGCTGTACAGTGGGAATAATAGCTGTATACTGTACAGTCATCTAAGTTGAAGTAAACATTTGGAAAAATAGCAGTACACTGTACAGTAAAGGGCTGATCTCATTTGCAGTACATTGGGAGTAGTAGCAGTACACTGTACAACAATGGATTGTCTTAGTTGCTGAACACTGTACAGTGTACAGTAAAGTAGCGGGTAATCTCAGTTGCTGTCCGTAGGACAAAACTGTACATTACAGGCTACTTAATGTACTGTGTACATAACAGGCTACTTGATGTACAGCGTACATAACAGGCTACTAGATGTGTACTGTTCTGTGTACATTTGTAAAAGTCAGCATACAAAATTTTACATTTTCCGCTCAAAAACTCAGGATTCTAAATTATTACATTGTAGAAATAAATATATAAGTAATAATAAAATTTACAAACAAAAAAATAAATAACTCTGCTCAAAACCCTGTACAAGAAGTAAATTTTGTTAAAAATAAATAAAATTTATTTGTAAATTTTGAAATACAATACACGATTATCAAATTTCTTTAAAAATAAATATTTATTTGTGAAAATTTTAAAATTTTTGTTGTAATCTGATTTTCTTTTTATTTTCTTCATAAATGTCAATTTCAACAAGATAAGGATGACTCGTGAAAATGACAAATGAATGACATATATGACATATATGACATAATAGCTATTTATTATAAATTTAACATTTTTCAATTTGAATAGACTTTGCTTTCAGGAGAATAAAAACCTTTGGAAGAAAATTTGCCATTTCAAAAATTAACAACTTAGTAAAATGAGCTACAGCTGCTTAACAATTAATAGTTTTGAAAGTAATACTGAATAACTTTGTGAATATTTTATTTTGAGGATTTCTCAAGCTCTCATTGGTCGAATTGGAAAACACCCATTGATTAAATCTTCAAGCTCTATCCAATGAAAGAAGCGTCTTTTTGATTTGTATAACATTTGCGTAAAATCTTTTATCGTGTGAAGAGACTTAGTTCAAGATTCATGGAAGTTCGTAGTAAGATTTTGACTCCACTGGAGACCACTCTGGTGGGAATTCATTTTCACTGGAGGTAATGTTGAATAGATGGAGAATAGTAGCACTCAACTCCAGTTAAATCTTGAACACCGCCAATAGTAGGGTTGGTCGATTTTGGAACCAAGCTTGAGGGCCGAATGACATACCTGCGAATAAATATTTGGAGAACTTTGAAAAAAAATTAATCAAAATTTTTTTAATGTTGAGCGTAAGGCCATTTTTACAAAAAAAAATCGAAAGCTATGAACCCAGGGAATACAGTAGCAGCAACAAATCCATTGTTTGGCCTTCTAATGACCTGAATGACCTCCAAAAATAAAAATATTTTAACTATGGATTTATGCACATCAATTAAAAGCTAGGAACCCCAGGAATACAGGAGCAGCAACGAATCCAGTGTTTGACCTTCTGGATTCGTTGCTGCTAATGTATTCCCTGGGTTATTAGTGTTCGTTTGATATGCATATAGCCATAGTTAAAACATTTCATTTTAAAGATCATTTTAGGTCAATAAAGGTGGTAAGAGGTCATTAAAGGGTTAAACACTGGATTCGTTGCTGCTCCTGTATTCCCTGGGTTCCTTGCTTTCGTTTGATATGCATATAGCCATAGTTAAAAATTTTCATTATGGAGGTCATTTAGATCATTAGATGTCGTAAGAGGTCATTAGAAGGTCAGACACTGGATTTTTTGCTGCTCCTGCATAAAGACATAGTTGAAATATTTTCTATTTGTGGAGGTCATTAGAGGTCATTAGAGGTCATTTAAATTCAATTTTATTTTATTTTAGGAATCTCGATCACTACTTAGGCGTGCAGCTAAAATTTTGAAGATTTGAACCAAAAATTATTATAAAGGCAGCCCCCCCCCTACATCAAATAGGACATCTCCCAACAAACCCTTTTGAAAACTAATTATTTTTAACTGTGGCTTCTCTGCAATTGCCCGCGCATTTCTACTGCAGAAAAACATAAAGTAACTCAAAATCAAAACTAAAAAAAACAACTGTATTTTTCAAACTTTTGATCAAATAATGGTTTCCAGGGATCCGTTGGGAAACGGGCATTGCCCTTTTTAGCACGGGGGTGATTTGAAATTACGCTTTTAGTTTCCTTAAAGAGACTAACAACGTGATTTGAAGTGTCACCTGAGTTAACCAGCCGGGCAGAGCTGAGTCAGCCTAACCGGACCGTCTCGGCTGCATGAAGCTATCAGTAAATCTCCGCTCACAAACTTAGACTAAATTGGATATATACTATAAAGAAGCTATAAATTGGATATATACTGTAAAGTAGCTATAAATTGGATATATACTATGAAGTAGCTATAAAGTAGTTGTGTTTTATGTCGTCTTCCTATTTAAATGGGAAGACGACCGTTAGACTCAAGTTTTGATTTAGAATAGTCAAGTAACATAAAAGACAGCAACCGTGCAAACCATAAAAAATGGATAAAAGAAAGTAAGACTAAAAGAATAGATAAAAGAAAGTAAGAACAAAAAGATGGATAAATCAAATTAAAAACGAAAGGATGGATATGAGAAAATATGAATGAATGAATGAAAAAAATGGAAAGTTTACCTGAAAAACGTTCTCCCTGTATCATGTAGGAAAGGATACAAATCCCAGATCTTTACCATCAGATCATCTGACTCTGAAGCTATCCTGCTCACTGCACCATACACCAGTCAGATGCATTCAATGCAGAATTATTTTATACATTTTTCAGACCAAAACTTTTGAATTTTATACGTGTTTTATCGAATCTCCTCCCCTGACAGTTAGCCAAACCTTTCTTTAAATCATTTCTTAATTTTCTCTTGGTGAACTTCTCGTTTATCCCCGCAATATGACTTTAATCATTCAACTGAAGTTTACGTTGTGGAAATCTAATTCAGCCGATGTGGCTTAGCGCTATCCCAACCAAAAGATTTAACCCTTTTTAAAACAAGCTAATTACATTTTCTCACTCATCAATCAAATGATGAAAGCACAAGGTATTATGCAAATATAAAAAATTATAAAAAGAAAAAAATTCTGATAAAAATAAGTGGAATTATGGTTTTTCTGTCTGGCTAAAATCTGATGCATTAACACAAACCTTCATGCCCTTCCAGCTTAGAGTACAGACAAAACCTTAAATAGTAAACTAATAAAAATAATAAAAATATAGTTTTATTTGACACGAAGGATAATTATAATTCTTATAATTATAATTCCTGCTTACTTCCTACTTTAGTAAAAAATGTTCGGAAGGAATAATTTTCATTACACAACTTGCTGGTAACGGGAAGTCTACGATTGGATAAAGAAAAGAAGAATGAACATGAAACAAACAAAAGGATAAATGTATGAAATGATGGTCGAAAGGATGAAAAAAAGAACAGATGGAGAAATGAAAGGAAAGAAAGTATTAAAGGATGTGAAAAGGAAAGGAATTGTTGTTGTTGATAAAAATCTAACCTTTTGACAGTTTCCTCTTGAAGGTTTGAGTTGACCCGAAGCCAATACGTAATTCATAACCCTCACGGAGCAGGTTCAAGTACGGAGCCGGAGCAGGTCTATCCAGGAGTTTACACGCTTTATTTCGTAGCCTAACCTCAGTTTTATCCTCCTGCATTAGCACTAACGTCATTGGTCATGATGTCATGGTCAATGGTCATGGTGTCATGATCATTGTCATGGTCATCCTTATCGTAATGATCATACAGTTCATGTGGTTCAGGTGATCAAGAAAGATGGTGAAGAAGAAGTAAAGTTTAAAAAACTCAAATTATCTCACAGAAAAATTAGTGTGATATACTGCGTATAATTTGTAAATATTTACATGAATTGTACACTTTAAACTCGCTTTTAGGCTGAAAGGGACTGACGAAGGAATTGTTTAAATTCCACTCTATGTATAATCTATTCTCTTTGGAGATAGCTCCTTAAATAAAGTTCACAGGTCCTGTCATCATTGTTTTATGCAATAAAATACCTGGTCTTGAAGTCGATATTTTCTGAGAGATAATTTGAGCTTTTTAAACTTTACTTCATCTTCTTCACCATCTTTCTTGATCACCGGGACCACATCAAATGCCGGCCGCGAATTTATAATGTCTACTTTATTTTTAACATTTCCGGCCGAAGTTTAAGGTTCAGGAATATTATCTTTGTCGCCTTTAATCGTTACACCAGGCAAAGACATTTTTTTACATCTAAAATAAATAAACGTTTTTAATAGATTTTTCAGGCTAACTAATATCACAATGAACTTCAGATATTATAATATGCAAAAATAAAAACCATACGTTCATATGTTATTAGCTTATTAAAATATATATACACTATACAGGGTTACCCACAAAGGATGAGACTTCAGAGACAACTGTACGGAATTTTTCCCTGCTTCTTTCTGTGTTTGCGAAATTATTAAATAAGCCATTTAAAGACCACATTCAAGGCAGAAGACTAAATTTAAACTTTGCATCTTCATGAGTTTCAATTCGTCTTTACATTCTCATCCTTCGTGGGCAACCCTGTAATTCAGACGCAGAATTAAAGAATTTTTCATTGAATTTAAAAAAAAAATTTTTTATCATAATTTAAATGCATAGTGAATACAAAGATTGACAACATAATTAATAATTGAAAATCAAATTCAAATTTCAAAAATTATACAATCAGCCATACTTTTGTCACATTTTATAATGCACCACAGATCTCTTTATTTATAATTTGATGTACTTTTAATCCTTGATTTGCTTTTCTTTCTCTTGTTCCGTAGGTTTCCCTTTACTCGCCAGAAGCTCGCGCAAAGCCTGATAATTAAGTTTCACTATACGCACCAGAAGCTCGCACAAAGCCTGATAATTAACAAATAAATTTTAGAAAAGTTTACTTTAATTTTAGCTACAGGGTGTCCCAATAAACTGGCTAGAAGGAAACCAATAAACCATAGAATGATTTGTCTGCTACAGATTAGAAGTTCGTTGTTTATTTTAAAATGAACAGTTCTTGAAAGGACAGTTGTCCCTCTTCGCTGTTAATATATCCCGATGCAACTATTTTTTTTTCTAAAAATATCCAAACGAAGCTGTTTCATATATTTATATAAAAAAGTGTAACCATTTCTTCCAAAAACTACCCAATATAGAACTATTTTTCTAAATAAAATTCCATTGGAACTATTTTTGTAAAATATTCAAATAGAAGTATATATTCCAAAACATGACCCAAAAGTATGAAATGAAACTTTTTGCTAATAATGTCCCAAAAGAACTATTTTTTTCTAAAAAGATAAAGTTGAAATTACATTTATAAAAAAATTATTCTGTTCTAAATTTTTGTATTCCTGTGACAGCTGGTCCCCGGAGAATGGTTTATCCAGAGGTGGAACATGAACGAATAAACTCCGTCCCTCGTTTGCGTGTAGAGAAGAGTAGTAAATAAACTCACAGAGATAGTTTCCAGCATCTTGAGATGTACTCCAGGATATAGAATTACTAGCTGAACTACCTGTAGAGTTCAACTCTTGAGATGTACTCCAGGATATAGTATTACTAGCTGAACTAGCTGTATAGTTCAACTCTTGAGATGTACTCCAGGATATAGTATTACTAGCTGAACTAGCTTTAGAGTTCAACTCTTTAGATGTACTCCAGGATAAAGAATTACTAGCTGAACTACCTGTAGAGTTCAACTCTTGAGATGTACTCCAGGATATAAAATTACTAGCTGAACTACCTGTAGAGTTCTACTCTTGAGATGTACTCCAGGATATAGTATTACTAGCTGAACTACCTGTAGAGTTCAACTCTTGAGATGTACTCCAGGATATAGAATTACTAGCTGAACTACCTGTAGAGTTCAACTCTTGAGATGTACTCCAGGATATAGAATTACTAGCTGACCTACCTGCAGAATTCAACTCTAAGCTCAGCTGCGCAAATCCATCATAAACTTTATTTTTCTAGTATTCTGCAGGGGGGGTTAATGATTGAAAAACCACCATCCTACTGAAAAAAAATGATAAGCAAGGGAAAAGGGTTTGACATCTACTGGTACGATTTCGCACTTTTTTGATAAATTTCTTCCGATAATTCTTTTATTTGAACCTTAACCCTAATCAGAAGTACTTATCAAATTTTTTATTTAATTGATAAAAGCAAAATTGTTCTAGAACTATTCTGACAATGTTTTCCGATTTCAGAATGATAAGCGACATTTTTAAAAGCTTGTAAACATGGTGTTAAATTAGCTATTAAAGATCAAAGAGACCATTTTAATCTTCTTTAATTTTACACAATGTAGCACTTCTTGCTCTCCATGGAACTGCAGTGAAATCCTATTATTTGCAACAAAGTTCCCCCGTATATTACGGGGGGGGGGGGCTATAGGGGCTAATCCCTCCCTGGAGAAGTGAGAAAATGATTATTCACCAAAAAAGTGTTAGCTCTCTGGACAAAATTCTTGATTCTATTTTGTATTTTAAGTTTATGTTTGATTCCCTTATTGACATCTAGACAGGTTGTCAGGGTCTGCTCCCCCCCTAGTACACACACACCCTCATGGGGACAACACAGGGTCACATCTTCTCTACACCATCAAACTTCATCGCACTTTTATTAGGTTTCTAAATCCTAAAAATACATTTACTTAAAAAGTAAAAAAAATAAGCCAGAACAAAAAATCAAGATGCATTTTTTATATATAGCTTAAACGATAAACATATTCTTACCAACAGCTTAGGTGGTATAAATGAGGATAAAATTGATATAAATAATTTATGGATTAATTTTAAGACTTTTTGCGGATATTGTTATTATATCCCTTAGGGTCTAGAGATTAATTCACCAAATAACCAAGATAAAATGTAATGTCTAATGTGTTCAAGCATTCCTGGTGTAACCACAGTTTTTCGCGCATTCTTCAATTGTGATATCATTTGCGGCACTGCTAACCCCAACATGTACAACGAAATCCGCCTCGGGCCACTTGTACGGTACATTCTCCTGTACATACTTGTATTCTACAGGGATTTCTTCAATAATCACATCTGCTAAATCGCTGTACAGTTTAGACCAATGTTCTGGTACTCCGCGTACAGCAACCCAGCTCGCATTCTCCTACGGTACAGGTCATGAAAATGTCTATAATCCAAGGAGAAAATGAGTAAACAATTTACATCATTCTAATCATTCAATGGTTTCAAACTCAAAATCAAGCAAAAGGTGTTGAAACTTGTCAATTATTTCATATATATAAAAGAGATAAAGGACGATTTTAACAATTTTTAAAAATACAACTTTTAATTCCAGCCCCCTACTAAATTCAGCATTAAAAATCAATTATTCTATGGTTAAAGTTAGAAAAATACTGCTTAACTTCAATATATTTACTTAGCTTTTCTGTCTCGAAAAAAAAACAGTTCAAAAGTTATCGGTTTTTGTCAAATATTGAAGATGTGATAGAAACTCGAATAAGTATTAAAAAATCCTTTAACTTTTTTGTTATTGTTGTATATCGTCCAATTATAGAAGATGCTCAAAACAATTAAATTAGAAGTTGGGCACGAAGCGCCCTAAGAGCCTATTTTTGTTGAAAACTGCCAACTTTTAAAATGACATTAAATGTTTTATAATATTAACCCCTGAAAATATACTTGTGATCCCCTATCCTTACTGTCTTTACCTTGTGCTCCCCAAAAGGGCCGAATCCAGTCAAAACTATTTTCATTTTTAAATCTGAACAACATCGTCGTTGCTTAAACACGATATAATTGCATGAAAGGAGGAAATTTATTTCTATTACACATTAATTCTACATGAAATTATTACAACATCATATTAGCTTCACACAAATACAGAACGCGGCAAATTTTAAAATGATGTAAGAACTTAGAGCACAGTTTGTTCTAGAGAGGGAAGGATAATGGCAAAACACACATGATAACGTAAATAACACATTACGTAAACATGCAATATTAGGTGATTTTTTCCACTAGAAGATGTTTGACAAGATGAGAGCAGTTGGCCTGTGTCTGAAGAACCAGGGTAGAGGAGTCAAATCCGAACACCGCTAGATGGCTCTGAAATCATTTACATTGCAAGATAATTAAACGCTACTGACCTAATCAGATAAAATGGTAATTTACAGGTCAAAAAAAGGAGCAAATGTTAAAAATATAATAATTGTAATAAAAACTTAACAGATGTCAAATTACAAAATTTCATTTTTTCAGGAATTATACTAATTGTTGTACTCAATTTTAATGCACTGCTAATAATATGTATTTTGTTTATGGTTCGTTAACAATAAAGATAAAACAACTTCTTATATGCTAATACCTTTTTCTTTCAATTTGTTAACATTTTAATGTTAAGTTGGTTATAAACCAGTACTTAGGATCCATTTCATATAGATGCGGTTCCAGGTTGTGAATCTTAAAAATTTTGTGGATTTTTAACAAATGTCATTTTTTGAAAATTTCTTTCTTTTATTCGCTTATTTTTATGACGAAACCATGTAGAGATGGGAAAGTTAAAAGTTTTAATGATCTCGCCTTAGATGACGGTTAAGATTTTTGTACAAATATTTTTATTTAGCAGGTTTTGTTAAATCATGTTGTCCCTCAGATACGGATCCAAGAAGCCAAAACGTTGCGAATCTGTTTGATCCGGATCCTAACTGTTATTAAACCCAATGTAAGTTTAAATTTGAAACCTGTAGATTAGTTGGTAGAATCCATGTTGCAAGAAGATAAACACGATACAGAGCAGAGGTTAAGTATCCACTTTCATCCCTTTATACAAATTTGATAAACATCTTAGTGGGCTGGTTATGTAAATTTTTGGGACCTCCCCACTCCTTCCATGCCATACCTCCCCGCCCCCCTCCCATGCCATAGGAGAAATGGTTTTAAATTTGCTCATGAAGGGAAAATAAATGTACTTTCAAGTGACCCTCCATTGATAGTTAAGTGGCATAAACGATTCATAACGGTAAAGCGTTGTCTGAATTTAATAGATATTAGATATCCATGTTTTCGTTTTTAAAAACTTCATTTGTGATTTCTCTACAAAACTCTTATACTATTTCTTAGTTCAGAAAAAAGGAAAAAGTTACTTTAAAGCTTTTAATATATGCATCATTGAAGATTATATCAAGTTTTTGGGGGATTTCATTGTTGACATCTAGATGTTATGTTCATTATCAGTGATTAAAAAAACACATCTGCGACAATTAAGTTATTTTCGAACAGGGATAGGGGGGGGGAGGATTTGCAATATATTTGCATTTTTTACCTGGGAGGTTTAGTAACAGTGAGGTTACAGCCTTGATAAACTTGTAGCGAGGATATAATCATACTCATCCTGATCCTTAGTTCTCATCATTATACATATTCAAGACAAATTTTTCCTATAATCTTATTTCAGGAATTCCCCCCCCCCCCCTCCCCTTCCTAAGAAAAAGAGAATTGATTTTAGAGATTTATGGATGTCAGAATGTTCAGTGGGGCCCCCATGTGGCCTAGTCTGGGCATCATACATCAATAAAGTTATGAACCATGATTGCTTATCAAGCCAACCTAGGCTAAACATGACCTTATATCATAAGGCTAGGAAGGTGCTGACGGCGTAGTGTCTTAGCCCATGCGTGATTTTAGTTTTGCTGTCTATATAATAAAACAAGACATTCATATATAAATGTTCCCGAATAGATCGAATTTTTTTTTGTGGACACTCATGGGTAGCCTGGGGGTGACATGGGCTAAACAAAATTCTATCTTTTTTCCACGGGCAACGCCAGGCCCTTTAGCTAGTAATAAATAAAACTTGCAAAAACCCTTTATTTTACTAAGTACAGCAACAACAAAGTACCCTCAAAACAATCACACTAAATAAAAGACAAATAGGACAAGGGATTTAAAATCAAGATATTTAACAAAAAATTGCAAGAAACTTTGAAATCCAATAAAAAGAAAGTGAATAAATATCGTTTACACGGCTCATTGGAAAAAAGGTATTATTTTCAATAAAAAACGTAACAAATCCAAGGGTGGGAGAAATTTTTTTCGAAGATTTGGGAATATTGAAGAATTGGACTTCAGATAACAAGATTATTTTCCTCTTTAAGCTCCCGAAAATTTATGCATGTTCCCCACCAAGCTTTAAAATGTTTCCTAACAAGGGGAGGGGGGCACGATCTTTAAGGAGAAAAGAGAATGGGGAAATGATTTTTAAAGAAATATTTACTTCTGATAAATACAAATTTAAAGTTTTAATGAGACTATTCCTGAAGTTGAAAGCAAGGTTGATAAATATCTCAGGATAGGAGGAATCCTCGGGCAACGTCAAGTTCTCGATGCTACCAAAATATCCTAAACAATAAGTAACTTCACTTAAGTGATCTTTAATTTTATGAGTGGCATGTCCGATTTTTCACACTTTTTCCAAATTATAGGTAACATTGTGAAAGATATCACTTTAGCACAGAATCGGAAATTTCAGATGGAAAAGATGATATCTATGAGACTAAGGTTTAATTTGAAGTTTCGTCGCCAGTCTAATAAAAGTATACTGCGACAGCAAAAAAAAAGACATTGAATGACCAGGAAATGCTTTAATAGTGATATTATTCTTACGCCAGTTCATCATTTGATTTTATGAATATTTAATTGATTTATCCATTCATTTAATATAAAGTAATTATTTAAAAATGAGTTAATCAATCTGTTGACAAATCAAATGATTATTCGTATAATTAAAAAAACATTCTACGATCTCCAATTTAATAATAAAGTCAGTCACGTTGGGAATCTTTCATGATCCTTTTCTAATACTAATAATCCAAAATATAACTTCCATTGATCTATACTTTGTTTGATTGATTGATTGATAGATTAAATAACCTGATTTATCTCCTATTCGAACAATGTTTCCTAATAGAGGAGGTTTACTACACCATCTTCGTATCTCCTGTAGACCTGGATTCAGAAAAAAAACCCATTAAATTAAATTTGGACAGACGAGTTTAAAATAAGCTTTTAAAAAAAGACATGGAGTATTTCAGTCACAACTTGTAACTACTTAAAAAATCGTTTTATCAGATGTATTTTATGCATATCTATAGGATTGGCTTATCTTGGACCAGGATCCGAATTTAATGAATTCGAGCCGCGTCTCAAATCCGCCAAAAACCGGTTTTAAATGAGCGCCGGCTTGAATCTTGAAACATTGAATAAAATTTTAAGTGGAACCAACCATATTTGAGCCGCGGCTCAAATTCTTTAAATTCGGCCTCTGGATTCTACAACCCCCCCCCCCATCTTTACATATATTATCAGACAAACTTGTCCTCTGTATTAGGTTACGACAATTTTTAGGCCCCACGGTGTGGTTAGAACAGACGAGGAGACCGAGCGCTGCAGACCAGACAGTATTCTTACCAGAGCTAGTTGCATACAGAGGTCTTGACTTCTCCAGGGACATACAAACAAGTTCCTTCACCTGCAAAACAGGGAGGGGGTAATTCAAACCAGGATCCGTAACATTTTTGCTTTCTGAAGCCGGATCCGGATCCGCAAAAATATACGGATTTCCGGATCCGGATCCAAGGGGCAAAATGTTAACCAAATTTGATCAGAAATGTTCATGACCTGGATCTGGATTAATTTTTTAGAGCGGATTCAGGATCCGGATCGCATAAGAATTAAATGTATCCTGGGCAGTGATTTAGACATAAGTAAGAGAACTTATGGTGGAGTACAATTTGACTTCAAGAAAATGATTCCAGGAAAAAAGAGACAGGTTTGTTAATGCCGTGAAAATCATCAAGATACAAGGAAGGGGAAGCTTATCCGCCATACGCCTTTGATGCCCTACACAATCTAATGTTGATTTGCAGAGTTTATGGAGCGGCCTCGCACCCCCTGAACTGTGATTGCGCATTTCTGCTTCAAGAATAAAAGTAACTTATCAATAGTAGTTTAATAAACACTTAAAATGCTAGAAGTCCAACAGTATATTCCTGATCATGGATAAAAATAGATTTTAAAAGTACTTTGGTAAACAAGACATGACTTTTTTTAAATTGAAGGTCACTACAGTCCCTTTAATAAACAAACCTGTCGCTGCATCACTTCTTTCTGCATAATTTTCCAGGCTAGGATAGCGATGGCAATGGTAACGAAGAAATCAAAATCTTCCGGAAACTTTCTTCTAACCAGGACAATCAGACGGAGAAGAAACCAAACTAATAAATAATATTATTAATCTATGTTCAGAAAACTTGAATATTCAAGATGAGCAGAATAAGAAGATCTAAACTAAGGACTAAGAATGAGAGGAGAAGGATGGATGATTAATTAATTATTAACTTTTACTAAGGATGAAGAATGAGTAGAAGGATGGATAGATAAAGGCTGAGTATATTCACCTGCACTAAGGATGAAGAATGAGTAGAAGGATGGATAGAGGAGTATATTCACCTGAACTAAGGATGAAGAATGAGAGGAGGATAGATAGAAGGATGAGTATATTCACCTGAACTAAGGATGAAGAATGAGAGGAGGATAGGGATGGATAGAGGTAGGATGAGAATATTCACCTAAACTAAGGATGAAGAATGAGAAGAGGATAGGGATGGATAGAGAAAGGATGAGTATATTCACCTGCACTAAGGATGAAGAATGAGAGTAGGATAGGGATGGATAGAGGTAGGATGAGAATATTCACCTAAACTAAGGATGAAGAATGAGTAGAAGGATGGATAGAGAAAGGATGAGTATATTCACCTGAACTAAGGATGAAGAATGAGAGGAGGATAGATAGAATGTTGAGTATATTCACCTAACCCAAGGATGAAGAATGAGAGTAGAAGGATGAATAGAGGTAGGATGAGAATATTCACCTAAACTAAGGATGAAGAATGAGTAGAAGGATGGATAGAGAAAGGATGAGTATATTCACCTGAACTAAGGATGAAGAATGAGAGGAGGATAGATAGAATGTTGAGTATATTCACCTAACCCAAGGATGAAGAATGAGAGTAGAAGGATGAATAGAGGTAGGATGAGAATATTCACCTAAACTAAGGATGAAGAATGAGTAGAAGGATGGATAGAGGTAGGATGAGTATATTCACCTGAACTAAGGATGAAGAATGAGAGGAGGATAGGGATGGATAGAGGTAGGATGAGAAGAAGAACAGATGAGAGAATGGCAGGGAGTAATTGAGTGCTCAAGTAGAACACAATACTGTCAACTTCACCTTCAAATCAATATTAAACTATTAATTAACCAAAATATGAGTAATAATCAATCACTTATGTCTTGCAATTCTATTCTTAATATTCTTTTTTCTTTATTCAGGAAATTGATTTTAGGTTTAACAAGATAAGATCCGATCTTTTTGGCTAAGTGTTGACCAATGACATATCAACTTTACTCTCTTTAAACGAGATTAGCTTAAACTCATTAGAATCGGGTTAAATCTATCCTTTCAACCAGTGTTTCGGATCCGGATCCGGTCGGATCCGTATCATTTGGTCGGATTCGGATCCGGATCCGTATCAGGAAACGTTGATATGGATCCGGGTAGCGCCAAAAATTAACCAAAACCATGGAATAAATAAATCAAAATGGTTCGTAAATGTATTATTTACATGACGAAAATTTTTCAAAATTATCTTTAATAATTTAATGTTTACATTTATATAATAGTAATGACGACATTTTTAACTTTAGGATTACTATAGTTTATAAATTATAACCTTGCATAACATTTAATAGGGAAAATCCGATTCACAGAATCAAAACACTGCTTTCAAAAGTGTTAAACTTTGATGACTAATATTTACCTATGATACATACTGTTGATGATGATTTGACCATGAAGACATATATCCAGGTAGAGAGGAGACCCCCAGCATCTTGTTTAACCAGTTCTAGGTTGGTCTGGATACACTTGACTCCCAGAATATACAATGATACAGCCTGTAGCTCCGGACTAACCAGTCCTAGCTGAACCGTGGTCAACAACAATAATATCTGCGCGAAGTTTATCACAAGCACTCGTCGTTTCACGCGAGAGTCTTTATTGAGAAGAATTTGAAGAGCGCGGGATTCTAATTTCACTTTGATTTCGAGAAATGCAAGGGTTAGCATTGTTATAAGCGCCAGGGTTGGCGCTATCAGGGACCCGTATGGAGCCAGTATTATCATTATGAGATTTAAACTGTTCATAATAGTGTCCGGTTTGGATTCGGAGTCCAAAAAAAGAGAAACCGAAGTAGAGTTCATCTTATTAGTTTTTAATACTAATATTTCCTTTTCTAAAATAAATTCATTTTTGTTTCAGAAAACAATCACAAGTTGTAATTTTTATAAACATTCTTTGTGCAATGTGTGCACATTTATATAACAAACAACAATATTTATCTGAAGCTCGTAGAAAGAGTACAGCAATTAACGGGATCGATCTTAAATAATCTTACAAAAAGTAGCCACTCCCTCCCGTTCTCAAACATGAACGGATTTGAAGAACTAAAGCTGATTTTTATTTTAAAAGTTAATTGAAATTTCGGGATATGTTTTTTCATTTTTGGAAAACGGGGAATTTTGAAAAGAGTTCGACATTTTTAAGATTTTGTTTTTAAAAATGTTTGAATTTTCTGTTCAAAGTTTCAGCATGAATTTTATTCCTAAGTTGTGTAAATGTGTTGTATTTCTATCCCAGCAATAGCTTTTTTGTAATCACCAGTCCGTTGATAAATATCAGAGGTATACGCATAACAGTCCTAGACAAAGAGTTTAAGAATTATTGGGATTAAAGAGCTTGTAAAGTGTGGACTTCTACAGAATAGTGGAGTAATGGCGCGGATTTATCTGGTTCAAGAGAAAACGCGGATTTTTTCGTTTGTTAAATTGATGGATTTCCATTTTGTTACAAATTATAATTTTTTATTCAAACTTTTAAAATTTCAACCGGCCTTATAAATTAAAATCCAAATCAAATGGATCCTAAGCACTGGAACCATAGAACACATAAGTAAATTGGATAACAAATCAATATTTCTGGAACTTAAAATACTACTGACAAATGTGATAACATGTGATAAGATATTCACTCTACATTACAAGCCCAGTTTATTAATCGAGTTACAGTGGGTCGATCGTATCTATTTATCTACATCCTAAAGTCTACAAAAGTGTGACCATGGTTGTACAATGTACATCTGGTAGCAAGACTATGAAACTGGGCTTACGCGAGGTACTGTAATCCTAATTTCAAGTGACCCTCCATTGAATGATGTGACATGTCCAAATCACAACGGTACCATTAAAAGCCTTGTCTAATCCAGAATGAATTAGAAAACCATATTTTGGTTTATAAAAATTGATTTTTTTTTTCATTTGAGGTAAGAGTGAATTGAGGTAAGAGTGAATTACGCATCTCATGCTTCAGAAACAATAGAGACATTAACAGATATAAAAACTGTTTAAGCTAGAATAACGGCGTATCTTCAACACTATTTAATAAGTCGTTCCAGGTTTTTTTCCCGAAAATTCTAAATTTTGTCATGGCCCTTTAATAATCGCCCTACTGTCTGCATTATTGCGCTGACCGCTCTCATCAGCTGGTTTAGATTAAGTTGGCAGCAAAAATCTATTGAGTACATTATTTTATTTAGAATTAATATGATCAAATCAAAGAGATAACATAGGTTTTGAAACTGATCAACTTTCAATCCATTGATAGTTTTTTAAGTTATAAATCGTTCCCTAAGATAATTTCAAGTCACCCTGCATAAAGGTGGCATATCTGGCTCACAATGGTAACCTTTAAATGAGGATAATACCGTCGTTATTCTAATCTTTAAAAATTTCAATTCTTGTACTTTCTTACAATGTACCTGCAGCATAAATCCAAAAGACACAATTAAAGTGAAATAGAAAATAATCAATTTCCAGAAAGAAAAATAAGGATATCTCAGTCATCGTTAACCAGACAAATGTAAGTATGGTACCGTTATGAATCAGAAATGCTACTCTATAAATGGAGGATTACATGAAATAATATGTTAAATTTTACCTATTATGCTGAACAGACCAACCAAATTTAGCCAGAAACCTTTCCTCGTGCAATACACAGATAGCGTTCAGTACAAGCAGACTAGCTTCTACATAATTATATATTAGATTCTGTACACTGTACATAGATAGTGTTCAGTACAAGCAAACTAGCTTCTACATAATTATATTTTAGACTCTGTACACTGTACACTGTACGATAGCGTTCAGTACAAGCAGACTAGCTTCTACATAATTCTATATTAGATTCTGTACACTGTACACTGTACATAGATAGTGTTCAGTACAAGCATACTAGCTTCTACATAATTATATATTAGATTCTGTACACTGTACATAGATAGCGTTCAGTACAAGCAGACTAGCTTCTACATAATTATATATTAGATTCTGTACACTATACACTGTACAGTGTACATAGATAGCGTTTAGTACAAGCAGACTAACTTCTGCATAATTATATATTAGATTCTGTACACTGTACACTGTATCCATTAACCTATGTGAGTCCCACACAAAATTTGGGCCCGATAGGTTCAGCCGTTTAAATTTATTGGATACAAAAAAACAGACAGACAAGCAAAGTATACATATAGATAATTTACTCACCGAGCAGACTATACAGGCCAAAAGCCATTTTTAAAATCTGAAAAAATCGAACAATTAAATTTAAGATACAAGACAGGATTAAAATGCATAACAGGAAAATTTAGTAACAATCTATATATCGTATTGTGTAATAATGTGAATTGGGTCAGTATAATACATCGGTAATTTTTTACACATGGTGGTGAAGGGCTTCTTTTACATCAAGGTACTACATTTTTGGATATAATGAAAATTCAAGGTATAGACAGAGAAAACATACTTCCGATCTTTTTAAGGAAAAGATACAAGATTTAAGAATTATTGTATCATGAAAAAAAATGTTTTACAGAGTTCAAAATAACAAGTTTAACAAAGATTGAACCCTTGGTTCAGTAAAATATTTATAAACACACAATCCTGCAGACATGGTGATAACTGTGTTGAATAAGTTGGTTTCATTTAAAGATTACACAGACAGTACAAGAGAAGTAGTTTTTATATGAGCTTGATCATTATTGCTTATTCTAAACCTGAATCGTACTGAATTGAACTTATTTGTACTCATTAGAACTCATTAACCCCCAGTTCTAAGAGCGGGGGAAGACAGGCGGCCATAAGCCACAACATTTTCCCTTCCATGCCACATATTAGCTTTTTGTCTTCCGGCAGCAATGAGCCACAATCGTGCAATTTTCCATACCGCAGCATTTGAGTCTTCCGGCAGTTATTATGTTTTTAAATCATAAATTTAGTGCATTGAAAATGTGATTTTAAACAATCCAGCGAATTCATGCAAAAGATATATAAAAGAACTTTATATTTAAGTTTTAAATTGAAATAATAACGATTCCTTTCAATGTAAACTGCTAAGCTTATTTTCCCAAAAAAATAAATTTAATCTTTCCTCTAAAATGGCTAATTTTTGAAAACATTATGAACAATAAAAACTGTGCACCATAGCATACTCTTAAACTAAAAAGGACACCAATAGCCCAAAATTTGCACTATTTAATAATAAAATTGCAAAAAGAAGTTTTTTTTTGAGGAAATCTGTAACGCTCAGGTAACGACAGTTAATATTGTGATTTTTCTCATCTTTTCTTATTCTTTCGACTTCACCAAACAATTTGTCTCGGTGCCCACAATACGTAAAATGATGTAAAATTTTCTTTGTATAATTTTGTTAACACAAATTCGAAATATAAGGAAGAAGATTTTACTGACTCAGTCAGATTGAAACACTTGAGATGATCACAACTCTGTCTCAGGTAGCAACCCTGGCTCCTTCATGATGATGATACAGATACCTTGTTTCTGAGTATTGAATGAATCCGAAAAAATAGGAGGTTAATAAGTACAAATTTTGTTACGTTAATAAGTATCCCTTAATTTAAACGTTTATTAAAATCAGATAAAATTTTAAAAAAGAGTTTTTAAATATATAGTTCGTCTATTATGATGTCCTTGTTTTTGTCTTCTTTCTCATCAAGGGGGAATTCTTAAAATAGATATAGTTTTGTTAAAATAAATTCGAAATATAAGGAAGACGATTGTACCGACTCAAATGCCTCTGTTAATTCTCTAGATGTGTGTGTACGCAGGATCCATTTCCGCAATGAAGCAAGCACACCACACATGTCAAATCCCCGTCCATCCCAGCTCCCGGTATTCAGTCAGATATAAACACTCAAGACATTCACAACTCCATCTCAACCCTGGCTCCTTCATGATGATGATGCAGATACTCAGCGCAACGCACCTGTTGATCTGCTCCACCAACATGAAGCTCTACATCACCCCCCATGACTCCTTCAGGCTGATGATGCAGATCCTGAACTAACAGCAGACGTGCTTATACCTCTGATCTCCCTATTAACTTCTTGAGAAGCTTACTTAGGAAACTTGTGCACGGCTCTGACCGAAGTTTCCGCTATCTCAAGTTGCATTGCCTTAGTTCCATTGATAAGCCCTGTTGTCCCAGTTCCCAGATCTGCTCCACCAACTTGAAGCTCTACAACACTTCCATGAGGCGCCATCTAATATCCATCATTAATTCCTTTGTTAATTTCTAAATCAACCAATTTTAACTCCGCTTTAAATGCAAATATTTCAAAACTTTCGTTTTATTAAATAAATGTTAGAAATATCCATTTAGATCTCTTTTATTTTATTATAGTGCTTTTAAAGTCAACAAGTTTATGTAAACTATCAACTTTTGTAAATTAAATGATGTTGACATATATATATATACGTAAGAAAGCAAATAAACTTTAATCATACAAAAAAAATTTGCCAAGCATAACAAAAATCATTTGCCGTAGGAATATCGGACTTCTCCAAAAAGATGCAGAAAAAATAAAACAGAAGTATGTTAACATAAGGCTGTATCATTTTTATACTGTCGATAGTGTGCAATGTAGGCAAATGTTTCAGCTTAATCCTTTTTCTGCTTCCGTCAATCCTTCTTCTGCTTCCAGTCTTCCTATCTTCGGTCAATCTGCTTCAAGAATTGGAGATTGTAGGGGAACAGGGGGTGATGAGTGAAGTGTAGTGGTGGTGATGGGGGGAGTGGGGAATATATGTAGGTATGATGATGAGTTTCCTAGATGGGGTATAGGCAGGTTTGGGTGATTTCAGTACCCAGAGCAACCTTGCTAGTTCACTAGATAGATCATTTGCAATGTAAATCCATAGATTTTCAGTTTGTTTATTCCGCAGATTAACTCAATTGTACAGATTTTTTACTCCATTCAATTTAATTCCGCTTATTTGCATTTAATTTCATATTCAATTCCATTTTATCCATTGAAATTCCACTCTAACCAATTTAACTTCATTTTGTTCAATTCAACTCCATATTAATTGTTTTAATCTCATTTATCACTATTTATCCATTCCATTAATCAATTATATTTACAATTTTTTTTCAGTCATCTCAACAATTTTTGATTATTAAATCTTACAAAATGACGCTCTGACATGTAGATTTAAGGATTGTTTAAACTACATTTATTAATGAATTTTCATAGATTTTCGGAGTTTACAATTAGCAAAACTTCAAAAATGATGAACTTCATTTTTAATTAATTTCATTTTTATCAGTTTTTTAATCATGTAGTTTTATAATATGTGATTTAAACGATTTTTTGTGTATTATATTTGCCGTTACTCTGTATACACATCTTCATCCAGAAGACGACATTAGTTAGATGGATGGTTATAGATAGATCAGATACAACAGCTACCACCCCCACCTTCAAGCATATTTACATCACATCTACATCATCATCCTATCTCTTTTCTTCCTCCCAACAAAACTAATCTAATCTCTTTTTGCTTTACCGGCAAAACCTAGCTAGCAACAGGCGATGCTTACATCCAGTCCAATTATGTCCCAAGAGTTCCAAAATTATCATGCATTCCAGAGACTACATAATCGCTCAAATCCAGCATGATAAAACCGCGATCTCTCCCCCTCCTTATCCAAAGCCTGGGGTGAGCGGAGACCTGTTGTTCCAGTTCCTGTCGATCTGCACCACCAACATGAAGTTCTATAAAACTCCCATGATGTTACTACTGCTGTTCATCAATAATTTTCTTTGTTAATTTCTAAACCAACCAATTTTAACCATGTCTTATGCAAATATTTCAAAACAATTTCGTTTTTTTAAATAAATGTTAAGAAATATCCATTTTAGATCTCTTTGTTTTAATATAGTGACCTTTAAAGGCAACAAATTTAAAGTAGTTTATAAACTGTACATTGTACACGCAATTCATTGATCGTTAAAAACTTCTAAAGTATCTTAAAGGTATGATCTTTCGCCTAATGCGGCAAGATTTTTAAAAATTGCAATTTCAATGCCCTAAATTTATCCTTTATAAAAGTAACAACTGCCGGAAGACTCAAATGCTGTGTCATGGAAAAACGTACAGTTGTGGCTCATGGCTGCCGGAAGACAAAAAAAGATCATGTATGGTAGGGGAAAATGTTGTGGCTTATGGCCGCCTGCCTACCTCCGCTCGTTCTACCCAACCTGGCACGGGAAAGGAAATGTTGTACTAAGAGTTTAATAAATAAAACAAAACCCACTTCTCTTGTCAGACCCAAGGAATTTACACGGAATCTTTGTTAACATCAAAGTGTACTGCAATCTGGAAGGAATTTAAATATAACTCAACAGTGTTTGTTTACATTTGTCCCAGAATCTGTAGTACGGTTTTAATGTAAACCTGTTCCTGGTATATTCTTTAATGTGATTCAGATGTAATCTATGTTAAAATAGATGGACGTAATTTAAAGTAACCCTCTATATGTTGAGTGGCTTATCAAATTCACAACTGTAATCGGAAAATCTTTAATTTCCTTTAGTTGTCCAGCCAGCTTACAACTTATTATTTTCAGTTGTGGTTTCTCTACAAAAGTCATTAGCGTATTTTTGCTTAACAAACAATGAAGAAAATACACATATTTAAACACTTTTTTTATGGAAGAAAACCAATAAACGTTTAAGTACCGTTGTGAGTTAGAACTTATGTCACAATTGGAGGGTCACCTAGGTTTACGCCAACAGTCCCTTTAATATAAAATATTATTGCTGGAATGAGTCCAGACTATCGTAGTCGAACTGACGCATATCTATTGGAGGAAAGATATTGAGGCTGTCCTCCCTTGGTGTTCCGGGTCTACTCTCCTGCTGCCCAGGGTCCAGAGGACGATGGAGGTCTCCGGAGAACAGAACACTGCTCTGGAATCCACTCGGGTGCGACTTAAAATGGTTATGTTTTAGACTAGCTTGGAAACCCAGCTTTGTCTAGAGTTTCCCTATAAAAGTCAACCCACACAACTTAGAATTTGAAAACCATGCTAAGAACATTCCCGTAGTTCTACCAAGTTCCTCAATCAAAATTTGAGTAAGATCACTACTTTTCATAAAAGGTTTTAATCCATAATCCAATATTTACAAACTTTGGTTTTCAGCTTAACACTGATTAAAGAGATTTTTAAAAACAACCATGCAACACACCGTTTATCCTTACGAGGTTTATTTTTTTATTTGTCCCAAATTTTGATTGGGGAACTCGGGAGAACCACGGCTCGGGAATGTTTTTACCTTGGTTTAAAATTCGAAGCTAAAAACGTTGTTTAAGACCAAACGCAGATTAAAGGCGGGAGTAACTATGAATAACCAGGGCAACGCTGGGTTCCTAAGCTAGTTTTAAAATAAATTAGTTCTATTCCAAAGATAAAGTTAAAGTTTAATAATTAACCAACTATAAAAGAAGGGTGTATATTTTCTCGAGAAATCATTTTTCTTTCCCCCCCCCCCTAGAAAATTATTTTTTCCCTCAGATTTTGTATATAATCCTGTGCAGAGCGAGAATTTTTCGGGGGTTTTACTCGCAGAATTTGGAAAAATTAATAATTTTTAAGGGGGAAATCAAAGAATTTCTGGGTAAAATAATAAAAAAAAGAATGAAAAAAAGTCGCCTACTATGTCCAATTTTTATTCTTCTCCACCCAAATCGTCAAAAATTATTCTGAAAAATATACACCCATGCAGTATTAAAACGTAAAAAAAAATTTCTTGCGGGGCAGAGTTTTTAAAACTCCCGTTGTACCTGGAATGGTGTAAATCTGCCCCCAAAGGCTGGAAACTGTGCACCAGGATGACCGCCAGGGAAAGGCGCCCCGGGACCAGAGAACATGTTCTGCGGGGCCCAACCCACCAGGAGGGGGGGCGGGGACATCATTAAGGGGGAGGGGGAGGGAATGAGTGGAGAGGCAGGCTGAAGAGGCGACCCTGTGGTAGGTATAGATCCATCTGGAGAGTTAACCTCTGCTCTCGCTGGTGGGAGAATAGTGTGGGGAGAGTGAACCTCTCTTCTAACCGGACCAGGTTCAGAGTTTGAAGAGTTCGGGTTCGACAGATTCTAAATTTACTTATTTTTAAGAAGCATAAAACATATGACAGTAATCGTTTTAATGGGACTATAAACGTATTTTCAAGAAGATCAAGGATAGATAAAATTTCATATTTTTCTCTCTCTGAAAATCGTTTTTTTTTAATAGTAGAAGTGCCTTGTAAATTTTTTCTTCAGAGACATTGAAGCAAACCGGCAGAATTTCACACGTTTTGAAAAAAAACAATATCATCGATTCTCATTTTTAGACAGATAAAGGTTTAAACATGCCACTCGCGGTAAACGATTGGTGCCTAGAAACTACGTCTTCGGTCCCATTAGGAGAAAGATAATCAAATCTAAATATATTCTTTGACCATTCAGATTTTGAAATGAAAATGTTAAGAACTCTCGAATAAACAGTAAGCGTAGACAGAGGGAAAAAATTAATCTCAGATTTCCGATCCTCTTTCTCCCAATATTGGCAGAAAAAAAACGAAAACCCTAAATTTATATCAAACAAAAATGTTCAACTTCATTATGAATCTGATACCCCTTCATACTCATTTTTTAAAGGTTTTTTATTTCCCTAAAGGTAAAAAGAATTCAACAAGGCAAGGAACTTTTTAAAGCTAACAATATTTGCAAAAATTCACCTCTTCGTTAAACTGATTCCTGTTGCCAGAAAATTGGTTATTCTGATTCTGCTGCTGTGAAGACAGAACTCCAGGTTGGGTATGATGTGCCAACCCTGGCAGGGAACACATTGGTATAGGGGGCGGTCCTTGCTCTCCGATAGGTGGTAGATACATCCCTCCTCCAGGACCCATTATCATTGGACCAAATAAACCAGGCATACCTGGTATCTGCTGCATTTGCTGCTGATGTTGTTGCTGCATCTGCTGCATCTGTAGATGCTGCTGTTGAATCAGGTTCTGCTGAAGACCCGTGGACACGACAGGACCCAACTGCAACCTAGGGTCAAGGGGTAACCGAGGGTCTAATGGGATCCCGACAGGAAGGAACGGGAATACTTGGTTCTGGAACTGTTGCATCATCATGTTCCTTTGGTAGTTCTCCAGAAACGGATGAACTGGAGAGGCTTGCATTCTGGCGAACCCGGGGGGAGGCGCAGGACTAGACTCTCGAATCCCGGGAGGCGGAGCACATTCTCCAGAATCCCCTAGAAAACTCTTCTCTAAATCCTCAAGATTTATTGCTTGCGCTGGAAGTTTTTTATTTTCTCCTCCTGCAGCGGCGGCCAGAGCAAGTAAATCAAATCCAGTTTCCTTCGGGGAAGTAGTTGGTTGGCTTTGGGGTGGTCCATTAGGATGAAACATTCTCATGAATGGGTTTTGACCATGCTGACCAATAGGAGGGGTTTGTCTCATAAAACCTAATGCAGGGTTGTGCTGTCCATGAAACCCAACTGGAGTAGTTTGTCGACTGTTCCCAATGGGTGGGGTTTGTCCACGGTATCCTACTGGTGGTATTTGTCCTGGGAATCCTGTGGGTGGGGTGTGTCCTAAATATCCAGTGGGCGTGGGTGTCCCTGGATATCCAGTAGGTGGAGTATGTCCCCGATATCCGGTGGGCGGGGTTTGACCGAAGAGCGGAGAACTTCCGAAAGATCGACCGGGTGGGATCTGAACCTGAGGTGGAGCAGGCAAACCATGTCCTCCATAGCCAAAACTTTCTTCATTAACTACTCCAGGGGCTTTCAAGGACGGCGGGGGTCCAGGAGCTCGGTTGTTAGGAGGAGGATTAACAACCCGGCTGGATGGTGGTGTATCATTAGAACTGTTTCGCTTAGTGATGCTTGGTGTCCTAATAGGATCTGATGGTCTAGGAGGACCTATGGGTCTTTGTCCTGAAAGGGGAGGAGGTTGAGAGAATAGAGGAACACAAGGGAGTTCCTTTTCCTGATGAAGGGAGATTTTCTGCTCTTTGATCCTACCATCTTCATTCTCACCTGAAACATAGAATAAATCCATAAATCCATAAATCATGCCAGACTGAATAAACACAACAAATTTACTATGCTAATAATATTATACTTTGGAAGAATTGCAAAAAATTAAACATTTATAAGATTGATATTGTAGATTTTAGTTAAAAACGAAATGAGAAAAAAAAACAGATCATAATAATCATATTCAGATCATTATATCAAGAAAAAGAGCAAGTTTCTATTCAAATAACTAAAAATTTAAGGCCGCGTTTAATTAAAATATCAAAAATTAGATCGCCGAGGAATAATTCTTCTTTAATTCACGTTCTGACAACATTCTGCTTGTTTACAAGCTTTGTGATGCAGATAGTTCTCTGCCAGGTTCAGGAGGTCTTCGTCAACAGGTTGATCAGCCTTCTCATACTCATCCTCAACAATGTTACGCTTTTCCTTTATTTTATTTTCCTTCTTTTTCTTCTTTTTCATTACCTTCCGCGATTTCTCCGCCATAGAGCGCGGATCAGCGTGATCAGGCTGATCAGGTTGATCATTTGTATTATCTTTCTGATTTGAGCAAACATCTATTTTGAGCTGTCTGTAGTTCGATTTGAGTTTTTCTAGCTGAATCCGTCCCTGACTCATAGGAGACAGATAATCAAAGAGTTGTGATTCTCCGACAGTAGAATTCACCTGGTTGTAATTAAACCCAGAGCTCAGGGTAACAGGGTTCTTCTTGATCATCTGATTCTCTTCAATCGTCTTCGGTTCTTCGCTTTCTTTCTTCTCTCTTCTCTCTTTCTTATTCTTTTTCTTCTTTCTATTCATATCCTCGCTATTTGTCTGACCTTCAACTGTCTTCTTCTTCTCTTCATTTATCTTCTTCCCCTTCTCCTCCTCTGCCTTCTTTTCCTTCTCCATGCTTTCCATTTCTTCCCTCTTCTTTATATTCTCAGCTGCTAACTTCTTGAATATGTTTTCTATCTCGGCTATCCTCTTTTTATTTTCATCTTCTACTCTCTCAAAATGTCCATTTTTAGTTTTCTTCTTTCCCTTCTCTGCCCTCTCCGCCGCTATTTTCTTCAACTTTTTCTCCTTGTTCTCCAGGAACCTTCTCTTAAATTCCTCCTTTCTGGTCAACTTCTGCTCGGAGTTAACTTGACTCGGATCTTCTGAAGGATTAAGGTTCTCCTTACCTTTGTCCGCTCCTCTAGGTATCTCCGACTTTGTCCTGTTTCTCCCCTCATCACGTCCATCAACCCGTCCTGCGTTCTAAACATCAAATCTTTTAGAATCACGAATAAATCAATGAGAAAAGATGCTCTTCAAACCGTTCTACATTCTTAATTTTAAGTATCAAGCTTTAAATCTAATTCAACATTTTTTTACAATTTGGTTTAACACATTCAACATATGGAATTAAATACTAAGCAAACATCTGCTTAATTAGTTTAATTCGATTAATTTTTTTTAGATTTTCATTCTTTCAACACAAAATTATCCAAATTTTGAAAAGCCAAGAAAAAAATCGGAGGGCTTGTGTATACATTTTACTGTGATATGTTCGGACTCTTTGGAACTAGTGTTATAACAACATAGGAAACCACTAACCCTAAATCTACACATATTGGAAACCACTAACCTTAGTTCTATGCACATTGGAAACCACCAACCTTAGATTTACACATATTTGAAACCACCCACCTTAGTTCTACACATAATGGAAACCACTAACCTGCTGCTGCTGCTCTGACTGAGTCCTCGGTCGATCCTTTTGTGCTTTCTTCCTCATATCCGCAGACCTTCTTCTAAACATACATTTCAATTGGATTTTTTATTCTTTTCTTCAGATAAACTTTTTTTTACATGCCTGGGACAGTCGGCGACCAGATGGCCGATTTTACCGCAGGCTCGGCAACCACGGTCGTTCGGCGGTGCTCCATTTGTCAGCAGACGGTGGTCGAAAAAGTAATCCTGAATATTTAACATTGAAAATATATTTTTTTTGAAAATTCAAATTTTTATTATCACATAGTGACTGTATGCTGCATAGTACATAAGTGAGGAAATTGGTTTGAAATTGTAGAAATTTTATTTTAATTAACCCATATAATTCATGTTGAGAAAAAACTTACAACACTTTACATCAGCAACCCTTCACCTCCCTTAAAGGTTTCTGTGCCCCTAAGACCACTTCCTTGCTACCTGAAGGTTTCTATGCCCCTGAGACCCCCCCCCCTATTACCTGAAGGTTTCTGTATCCCTGAGGAACCCTGGGTAGGACAGGTATAGGAGCTCCGAACAATGTTCTACCATTGATAAATGTTTTCTTGATGTAGATATTCACTGAAATAGTAAAATAAACAATTGTTTCAAGAAGAAAAATCAATATATTACACAATTCTTTGATCAATCCTCAATCTGTTAACCAATCAATCCATCAATCCATCAATCAAACTATCAATACATTAATATTAATTCATTAACCCATCAACCCATCAATCAATCAATATATCTATCTAATTAATTCATTAACCCATCAACCCATCAACCCGTCAACCCATCCGTCAATCTATCAATCAACTAATACATTATTCATCAATCAATTAACCAACCATTTAATCTAATAACTTTGAAGAACTTACTTCTCCTGCTTATTCCAACTCCAAGATTATGACTCAACTCGAACGGATCCTGAGGATTAATGTTCAACTGTTAAACTTTATTTTTGTCATGAAATGGACTTTTACCAGAGTTGGATTTTAAAAAATGGCCCTAAATTCATTATGCCTGGTTTTATCGCTTTAACGGTCGTGGGGAGAATACCCCCCCAGTGTTTACACCATTTCTACATAAGGACATCAAACAAATGTTTTGACACTTTACGATGTCTATTTTAGTATTAGATTGGGAAAACACGTATAAATATATTTAAAGAAATAATGCGTGTTTGGTAATTTAAAAGGAAGACGACATCTGCAAGGAATTTTTTTTGCGTTTTTCCTCTTCAAAATACATTTTATAACTAAATGTGCATTTAGTTTTGTAAACAAGTAAATGTTTTTGATATCTAAAATTGTGTAGAAAGGGTGTAAACACTAAAGGTAGGCTCTCTACGCAAGAAACCGGGTATGAATTTAGTATACCAGCCCAAATATTAAATAAATACAATTTGTTCATAAGTATTATGCAACGAATGTAGTATGGCTTTCATAGAATTAATGATAAACCTTTCCAATTTCAGTAGAAAAGAAAATAAAACAATGAAATGTCTATTTAAAAGGCTCTCTTAAAGGGACTGTCTAATTAAATTTTCCCCTAAAAATATCCTGGTTTTTATCAGAAAATTTAATAATTTTATTAACGCAGGGGTTTATATCTTTAAGATTTACCCAATAATTAGGAGATCTGTGGCAAAACTTGAAAAATTGGCCTTAAAAATGCAAGATTTTTCACCCTTTCTCATATTTTATACCTAAAATGATTTTAAAAGAGGGGGGGGGGGAGAGAAATGAATGATTTCTTAGGAAAATATACACCCCTGTTTTGACGGGAAAAATTTCCCATTATTACAGTTATGAATCAGACATATAACCTTTAAATGGATGGTCTTTTAAATTACGTCGACAGTCCCTTTAAACCAGAAGATAATAACGTCTATATTCCCTTTAAAACAGAAGATAATAACGTCTATATTCTCTTTAAACCAGAAAATAATAACGTCGAGAGTCCCTTTAAACCAGAAAATATAAACGTCTATATTCCCTTTAAACCAGACAATAATTAACAGTTGCATGTTTCCTTTAAACCAGAAAATAATACGTCGAGAGTCCCTTTAAACCAGAAAATAATAACGTCGATTGTCCCTTTAAACCAGAAAATAATTAACAGTTGCATGTTTCCTCTATAGCGATGCAGGGTGAATTCCACATTTTCTCAAACTTGGTGAGAGGTTTATGCTGACGTATACACACAACCAGCTTACGGTCATCCCACTCTCCTACAAATAAGAAAGAAAATATATTTTGCATCGTCGCTGGCTCGAAAAATATGAACGTTTTCTTTAAATTAAAGATTATTAAAATATGTTGTAAAAAATTAGGAACACTTTCTTAAAATTTAAGAAACAAAAACTCCAATAACAAAATTTTAAATGATCCCATTTTATGAGTTCTTTGCCCATTTTACTAAGCTACACTTAATTGAACAGCAATAATGTATCGTTGCTTTTCTATTTAAAAAGGTTGAAAAATGTTAAATTCTATCAATTTCCTTTTTATTCCTGCGGAATATATCCGCAATTCACTTTAATAGATAAAACCCAAAATTTTTGATAAATCAAAAGTTTAAAAGTTACCGTTTCTCTAAAGTTGTTTATTTTTTATTATTTTCTTTTAAGGAGAGATTTCCAACCGCAATATACTTTCTAGATCTCCTCCAGTTTAAATATGCAATTTCTAAACCGGATTCTGACAGGTTTTTTTTATTCCTGTGGTACTGAACAACAGAGTAAATGAATATAAATATTAAATACCTGCAAAGAAACTAAGAAATCCAATCCAAAGTTGACCAACACTCTTCTTATTCCCACTTCTCCATCTAAACAATTTAATTTTACTTCATTAACCGACAAGTGGGTAGAGGTAGAGGGGGCCATCCCGTCAAGAGCCCCCTCATTTCCTGTTCGAACCCAGGTATTTGCAGAACTCTGCCCGAGCCCCGAAATAACATGTCAAAGCACTGTTATTCACGCACGCAGAATTGTTCTTGATTTAGTTATTTTTTTCTGTCTTAAAAATAAGTAAAGATATAACTCGGAACAAATGCAGTCTTTCGTGGGACTCAAACATAAACTTCGGGGCTCAGACATCACAAGTTTTTTTGTAATCGTCAACATATTAAAAAGAATTAGTTTAATTATGATATTTTAGAAAATATAAAAGTAGGCTAACTTTCTTTATATTTAAGTTTGAAACCTAGATCCCCCCCCCACCCTTTCTTCACAACATAATGTTCACCTGGAGATAACCTCCTTGTCAGATTGAAACCAAGCGTTCCAACCATCCACAATCTTCTAAACATTTAAACTGGTTTTATTACATATCTTGGTCTCACAGGGTGAGAAAAAATTCATATAGCGATGATTTACAAGTGTGAACATAGTACTGTTTGTTAGCTTAATGCTTGCACTGAGCTAAATATTTTTTTAACTATGCTGTATACAATTAGTTTGTCCTCTTTGACATCATAAACCGTCCTGTCCTGTCCTTTCCTGTCCTGTACCTCTGGTTTCTCCCCTGTGTACATCTCCTGTAATACAGGGATGACTGGTGGAGATGTCTGCTGAAGATAGAAGAGCATCATGAGTATATACGCGTAGCTAGATAAACTACCTCGGCTTGCGTCTCCAATATCACAAACCTACAGTTCATTTAGATAATTCATAGGATTATCATTAAAGGGGCATATATTTTCTTGCAAAAAATCATCTACCCCCCCCCCCCACAGTACACAGTGGTTTAAAAAGCAGATTTCATGGACATCAGTACATAACAGGTAATACATTTTGACTAGAAATCTGATACTTTGCAAAAACAATGGGTTCTATCCATATTTCGCGATATTAGCAAAAGTTGAATTTGCTTTTTTTGAAGGTGATAACTTATGAATTAGAAGCAAACATTTTTTAATCAATTTTTGCAACCTCCAAATGGCTAAATCAAACAAATGGCTAAACCAAATCAAAATATATTTTTTTAATTAGTTCCCTCAGGTTATTAAAAGTCATGACCAAAAAAAATTTAACGTTTTTGACATATCATTTTTTTATATTTTCAATTTCCATCATTCTTGAAAACAAGGAATTGAAAGCCATTTTCTTGGACATCAGACTTTAACTTTTTTGTCTTTACAGTTACAAATCTGCCACTCTTAGGACATAACAATAAAAATTAAAATGAAGGAATGAATATTTTTACATTTTTAAGGTTTAATTTGTAAAGATCTCCTTAACCGGAGCAGTGTTCAAGCTAAACTGTAAACCCATGGAAAGCTAACATTTTCAAGATTTCAGAACATCTATGGTTTGATATGAGCATTGCACCGGTTTTTGAGTTATTCAAGAATTTGTAAAAATTTTGGAGGGTTAAAATGACTAAAAATTAACATATTTATATAATTTGTTTAATATTTTGGTCATTTACTAAGAAAAATATTTCTTTAAAAGTCCTTAAATAATGTAATGTATATATCTGTGTTGTACTTAAGGAACATTTTTATTAAAACTTATGAAAATCAAAGAACTACAAAACTTGATGTTTTACAACATTTTTTTCTAGAAGAGCTTTCAACACAATTTTTCGGTTCTTAATCGGCCTATAATTAACCTATCTGCAAATTAAGCAAATCTATTTTTTTCTATGTCCACGGTTTAGACCACTGTGCACCACTGAAATGCACTCCCCTCCATACTCAATCAGTCAATCCATTCTTTTCATTCTTAAAGGAAATTTGTGGAAGGAGGTATTTAGATAATTAACTTTGTTAGATTTGCGGGAAAAAATGAAAATTTCAACCACCAGGACTTTACCCAAAACTGAGCCCACAATCCCTAAAGAAAAAAAATTCAGGTAATAACTTCCAAAAAACAGTGTAAATCTCTCTCACCTTTGCAAATAGTTTGACCATATATCCTAGAACCTTGACTCTCTGATCTAGTTCAGAGTAGGTTGATAGCAGTCTCGTATTCTCCCTTCAAAATACACATTTTACCCCTAGTTTAGATAAGAAAAATGCTTCGAGTGCCAGATTGTTCGATATATTACACTGGCATTACCCAATATCATACACAAGGTATACACAAGGTAAACACAAGGTAAACACAAGGTAAATACAAGGTAAACACAAGGTAAGCACAAGGTAAACACAAGGTAAACACAAGGTATACACATTACACAAGGTGTACACAAGTAAAAATAAATAAATCTATAACGTTTGCATATTTTGTCTAGTTTAAAATTTAAAAACTGAAAATATTTTCAACTCTCCGAAATTTACAACAAAAACCCAGATTTTTTACTAAAATGCTATCTTGTGTGATACTAGGTATTCATACTCCATTAAACTGGAAAATTCTAAATTTCTGGATTTTTGCTTAAACATTCCAAAAGAGTACAGAGACAGTATTTCAACTGTTAAGAATTTAGCATGGTACTAGGTTACCGACAAATAATGAGTCTTCAAAAACGATTGTACAATATTCATTCCTGCAGTTGTAAACTTTTTGCAAAAACATTTAGTCTATCATTCAAGTTATTTTTAGATGTCAGCACACAAAATTCGACATCCTGAGGCCGAATTTAAAAGAATTTGAGCCGCGGCTTAAATTTAAGCCAAAGCTCAAATAAGGTTGGTTCCACTTAAAATTGTATTCAATTTTTCAAGATTTAAGCCGGCACTCAATTGAAACCAGTTTTTGGGAGATTTGAAACACGGCTTAAATTCATAAATTTGGACACAGATTATACATAATACTTGAAGATTCTCAATGTTATGTCCTTAATAGAGGTCTCATCTTTTGTGGTAAACCCTGTATCTGTAAAAAGCCTGAACCTGGCGAGTACGTTGTACAAGCTGATGTCCGCCTCGACGTTCAGGTTCTGGTAGAACAGCTTGATTATAGGAACCTTGGCGGAGGTGATGGCCAACACGTTCTTCACGCCGGACATCCGCTTGATCTTCTCCGCCAACTCCTCTATTATCTAAAAGAAAAATATATTATGTATTTACGTTTTCTGTTGGTCTATTTGTACTTTGTAGCCCTCCTCCCCCTTTTCGCACCTGTATACAATTAAGTCCATCAGCTGAAGGCTTGTCCGTGAATGTGAGTGAGATATCTAGGTCCGAATGCCGGAACGCAAACCCGTTGCTGGACGATCCAAACAAGGTTAGTTCCGCGTTCTTAAAGAACTTCCTGATGTATCCGTTCAGGTCGACCATTATGTGGTCCCGGTTCATTAGCTCAGCGCTCTGCGGTTCCCAGTTCCTTAAAAAAAAATTCGAAAATGTTTCAGGGATTTTATTAAAAGTTTAAAGAAAAATATTAACTTGCAGATTTCTCTAAAGATAATAATTTTGCTTTACGATTACAATTACAATCAGGGGTATTTATTAAATTAGAAGAATGATTTTCTATCATCTCGGGGAAAACTGAGCAAACTAGCAAATATCCCCCCCCCCCTGCGCAAACACACCTAAATTCTAGAAGGGGGGGAAAGATTTAAGAAAATATTTACCCCAGATTACGTTGAAATATGGAGGGGAAGGTTTAGATAAAACATGAGCTCCATTGATCAATATTACCTTAAGACCTCCACACAAATTCGATCAAGAGCTCGGATATAAGCATCCCGAAGCTGTGGCAGCTGCAGAAGAGGAGGCAGCTTCTCCTCAGGACAGCTACTGGTCACGTGCCCCTCAGCTGAGCAGACCGCACAGAGAACAGCAGGTACAGACCCGTCAGTCAAGTGAGCAGCTGAGAACACAAAAGACACCATGTTCCTAAATTATTTTATGGAGGAAAGGTTTAACAAATTATTCAAAGAATATACTATTATTATATACTATGTACTTTATACTATTATTATATAATCCAAGGGGGGGGCTGAGGGTATAAAAGAGAAATAGGGGGAAAACGGAACTTACAATATGCAACCTTTTCTAATTGACTCGAAATAGGAAATAAGAAAATCAGATGTAAAAAATAATCACCACAATCATCTTTTGCAAAATATGCGTTAATTCAGCCTTGTTCTTTATTATTTGAAAATACTATAACTAAAAGTTTTAGTTGTTTTTACTAATATATTTTTCCATAACTCTTTTATTTCATCGTAAAAGTTGATTATTATCGAACTTATGGGGGGGGGGAATTATGATTGGTCCATGTTTTGCTACCTGGTTAGGTAGGACTTTAGTTATAATTGGTCCATGTTTTGCTACCTGGTTAGGTAGGATTTTAGTTATGATTGGTCCATGCGAAGTTTGAATAGTTCCAAAGTACAGATAACCTAAAAATAAAGTAATCATAATCAACCAGTGCTTAAATACTAGGATCTGGAACCAATGAACCAACATTTTAGAGCTTCCTGTATCCGGATCCGCAAAAATATGTGGATCAACGGATCCGGAATCCAAATCCTAGGGGCTAAATATTTATTAAAACTTTTAGCTCTCATATCACAAAACTCCACAGTCCACAGTTAACTGACGAGATATTATTTAAAAACTTCTTAATCTCTAAATGGCTCATTAGGTTCAAGCATAAAAATGGCGGGAAAGAATGAAAAGTGTTGCAGAAGTGAAGAAGGAAATGACCTGGATCCATTTATTTCGTATCAAGGATCCGGATACGCAAAAAATGAAAGAGAGCCTAAGCACTGCACTTAATAATTTAGATATTTCTTTTCTCCTAAGTTCAGACACTGACTTTGGATTGATAAGATGTAACAGAAGTATACAGGGTGTCCCAAAATCACTCTTTACGGAGCTACGACTCTTATCTCGATTTATTCTTTTCCGAGACAATTCCGATCGATTTGACATGAAATAAAGGTCTGAAGAATTAATGCAGATTCAAGGAATAATTGAAATAAGCAAAATTATTGAAACCCTTAACTTTCGCTGTAAAGGGTAACCCACTTGTCGTTGTACACAACGCGATCAAAATGTGATGCAAATCGGTCCAGGGGTTTTTAAGAAATGAATGGACATTGGACATCCAAACAAACAAACAAACACCATAACAGAGATTATTACTTTTTAATACATATAAAAACAAGAAAAAGAATAAGAATAAGAATAAGAAGAAAATTATGAAAAGACCCCAGAAATATGATTCTCAGATTACCATCGAAAAAAATGACCACACATGTAAATAATAATAAAATTAGAATTCGTCGGTCATCGGGAGGTCATCTGGAAGTCATTTGGAGGTCTAAACCTGTTTTAAAGCAGTCCGCGATGTAGTTGAATACTGATGGATGTTGGATACTTCGGCACAGATTTCTCTTCATTGAATAGGGATCCTTTAACAAACTTATTCTTTATATATAAATAATAGTTTGGGAACCCAGCTTTGCCTAGAGTTTTCCATATAGAAGACAACCTACTCAACCTTTTCAATTATATCTACATCATTCTGGTACCGGTGTGAATCGAGAAGCTTTTACTTGAATGAAATGTAACTATGTCGGTTAATTTTTTGATGAAAATTAGAATTTAAAGAATAAGTTCCTCAATAGCAAGCTTCTTAGATTTCCAATCCTTCTCCTCATTGGTGGTATCCTCGGCTTTCCTTATGCTGACTACCAGGTCGGAGCTAGCATATGCCAAACTAAAAATTTTAGTTGTTAAGTTTCTTATAAAAGATTGATATTGAGATGTAGTTGAGCCACAAAAAGGGATAAGCTACTTCTCATATGAGCTGACTCAAGTTCAAAATATGTGGTTAAACTTAGTTTACATTGTTCAACTATTTCTCCCCATTCATTAAATTCAATCCCTGGATTAAAGAATAGTTGTTTATTATGATTATAAATTGTCCATTAAACATGACACACAGCTTTGTGCTTTAGAATAACAGTCCAAATTTTTCATTTTTTGGTTAACCTATCTAATTTGAAAATTCAGTGCTTGGGAATCGGACCCGGATCCGTAACATTTTGGCTTACTGGATCCGGAAACGGATCTGCATCTAAGGGTAATGATTAAAAAATGGCAAAAAAACCCAAATATGAATTGTTGAAAAAAGAGAGATTTATAAAGTTAGATAAAAATAAGAAAAAAAGAAGAAAAATTAATTTAAAAATTTTTTTCTGTTAAAAAATCGGTAAATACTAAAGAAGTGTTCATGACCTGGATCCGGATCCGCATCAAAATTAAATGGATTATAAGCACTGTATGAAATGATGATTTCTAACAATTTTAATATTGAATTTTTTAAAACAGTTAATATTCAAACATACAACCTGTAAAACTGGAAGAGTTGAATCCAGAGCTCGGCAACAGAATCAGCATTTTCACTTTTCCATTCTCTGTCAATATCATCAATGTATTTGAATAACTTGTCTAAATTTCCCCCCTTCCAAAAAAAAATCATTTGTTAACAAATGATTTGACCGTAAATTTTAGATTTATTTTCGCAAACTTTAGTTAGCAGAAAAAATAGTGATTTTGGGCGGTAAATAAAACTAATTTTTCTTTAGAGAAAAGATTAAGTATAAAGATTGAAGTCTTCAAATTTACGTTAACCAAAACAAAACATTTATCTATATAAGTGTTAAGGTTTAAATGATAAATTTAAAATTTCGAAAAGAATACTAGCCAAAAAAAATATATCAACGTTTTTCGTTTAAATTTTTTTCGGGATTTTCAAAGATTTTCAAGGATTTTCAAGGATTTTCAAGGATTTTCAAGGATTTTCAAGAATTTTCAAGAATTTTCAAGAATTTTCAAGAATTTTCAAGAATTTTCAAGAATTTTCAAGAATTTTCAAGAATTTTCAAGAATTTTCAAGGATTTTTAAGGATTTTCAAGGATTTTCAAAGATTTTCAAGGATTTTCATGATATGCTCCCTGAGTTTCTCCTTGTTAGGATGATAGACCTCATCGTTGCTGTCTTCCATAAACTCATGTATACAGGGTACCACAGGCTAAACACAGTAGAAATATAGGTAGATCTCATCGTTAACTTAGTAAATAATTAAACATTTGAGTAACAGTTGTCATCTGGATGGTGTGTTTGTCAAAACGGCAGAACCGACATTTTCTTGTGCAACCTCCGATGACGCAAGGAAACGCCGGTCAGAATTTTAAGCGAATTCTTAACTTATATATTCGAGCAAAAAACTCGGCGATTTATTTATTATAATCGTACGAAGAAAATAGGTGGCAAGTAAAACTGAATTTAAAACTAAAATTATTGTTAAAAAGACTAGTTTCAAATATTTTATGATCTTCTATAGTCAGACCCGTGAGTTTGGCTAATTACTTGTTAAGTACCCTGAAGGAAGTAACTGAGAAGGACGGAGAATCTATAGGAGGAGGGACTGTTTAGTTCTCTGAAGAAAGTAGATGAGTAAGATGGGAAATGTATGTGGGGATAATGTTCCTTCTGCCTGTTTATCTAGTTTAGTCAGGGCAGCCCAGTACCGGAAATTCACACCCAAAACTCGGACCCTAAAAGAAGTATGTGTTTTTTATTTTCAAATAATTATTTAGATTAAAAATTGGAGGATAGGAAATCCAAATGAAGAATAAAAGTTGTAGATCCGGTCTATCACCACTACTGAATTTGGAGGAATACTAAGTAAAAATAGACATCTCATTGATAACTGGAGGTTCGAGGTTGATTACTGGAGGTTAGAGGTTGATAACTGGTGGATGGAGGTCGATTATTAGAGGTTGGAGGTTGATCACTGTATGTTGGAGGTGGATTTCTGGAGGTTATAGGTTGAGGAATAGAGGTTAAAGGATAATTGCTGGAGGTCAAAGGTTGATAATAGGATGTTTAGGGTTGATTTCTGTAGGATGGAGGTTTATTACTTGAGGTTGGACGTTGATTTTTGGAGGTTTGATGTTGATTTCAGGAGGTAGAAGTTGAAATAATGGAGGTTTATTACTGAAGGTTGATTACTGGATGTTGGAGGTTGTTTTCTGGAGGTTGGTGGTAGATTATAAATGGTTTGAGGTTGATCACATGTTGGAGGTTTATTTCTGGAGGCTAAGGGCGGATAAATGGAGGTCCAACGGATAATTACTGGAGGTTGGAGATTGATTTCGGGAGGTTGAGGTTGAAATAATGGAGATTAATTATTGAAGTTACCTAGGATCGAGCTCCATGTAATCCTGGAGAATGGAGCTGGTCTGAAGAGCATGATGGTTGTTCAAGGATAGTTCCACATCTAAACCTAGGATAACATTTTCTTTTTATTACAGATTTTAAGTTTGAATTGCTTAACAGGTGATTTTCTAAATAAAAACCTGTCAAACTTAAGATAGCTTCATTCATTATTTTTAACAAGAGCAAACTTCGAATAATATTTTATTAATTTTTGAGGGAATTGATCACGCCTAATATTTCCCGTTTCCTTGGATTTTTTACTTTTTCTAGTTTGTTTTCGATCAAAATAAAAGAATTTTCAGAAAAAAAACTTAAATTTTGATCACGAACAAACGAGAAAAATTTAAAATCCCGGCAAAAACTTTTTCCACTTATTACCCATTACAATAACATAAATATCTATTTATCTATTAGCTTTTGAAATGTTCTTATTTTCTTAGATCCCTATTTTTTCTTAAATTTATTTTCTTATCTTACTATTTTTTCTTGAAATCGGGCATTTACTGGAAAGTTGTTCATTTTTTTATATTTTGTTTACTTCAAAATTATTATCAGTTGTTTCCCTAATGCAACCTATATGTGTATGGAAGGCCTAAAAAGTTGAGGGTGGTTAAAAATGAAAAAAAAAAATTATCGATAAAAATATCGAAATTTATCTTTTTTGTTAAAAAAATAAAACTTTAAATAATTCCGTGAAAAGGGGTCACTAAGCACCTTTACTGCCTAGTTCAGATATAAAAGACCCGAATAGGAACCACAAGTATTATATTTATAAACCTGAAGGACTGTTCCCCTCCGCCTTGAATCTGATGCAGGGAAGGTTGGCGGAGAAATCATCTTCAACATTCCTTACAACAACATTGATTATAGGAAACTTTGAGAAAAATCTGTACAAAATCTGTACATTTTCAGAGAAAAAAATCTGTACAATCCGTACATTTATGAAAAAAAAACCGTACAGTCCTAACATAAATCAATACATTCTGTACATTTTTTTCTTCAAAAAATCCGTACAATCCGTAAAGTTTTTTTAATTTTTAGAAAAACATCCAAAATAAAAACATCAAAGCCAAAAAATATAATATCTCATCTCTATTATCATTCAGCTTCCTTTTTGTTCGTATGTGAGCAAAGGCTGACCCTTACATTGCTTTAAAATTTATTTGAAACAAAAAATGACTGCACTCAGTGTAAAGATGATAAAAGATGAAAAATCCCGATGAAAACAAAATCACGATAAAATAAAAAATACAATTTAAAAATCTGCTTGCTTTCTTTTTATTTTCTAAATTGGGTTTCCTTAAAACTCATTATTTAGCAACCTTGAATAGCCCTATGTATTAATTAAGTAAACCTTGACCTATAAATTTGATAAGATTTAAAGTGAAGATGAATATTGAGAAATCTTTATCCCTTAATCAACACTCAACGGTCTACCGAGTGTTCTCAGTAAACATGAGAATTAAGTGACGACTTTAAGAAAGTCTTTGATTTTCAAAAGTAAAGATACAAGAAAGGCAGACCACATTTCGGAAAGCTTCTTATTTCCCATGAATTTTAGGACGTGTATAACATGACAAGAAAACCAGATTTGGTTGGTTTTAACTTTTTAAAGTCCGACTCTTAGTACTTTTTTTTCGGGTAATTTATCAAGTTCAGATATATCTGAATTTTATTTAGGAAGTGACAGCATTATAAAAAAAAGGAAGACGATTTAAAAAAATGGAATCCCTAATCCTTTTTTTATCAATCGGTACATTCCTCCACAGCTCGCGTTTTCATCAAAAATATTTGATCTAAATCTGGTAAAAAAAAAAAAAAAACACTACGAAGTGGTTGTAACATAAAAAATTTACACCTGGAAGTAACTAAAATTTTTAGCGTTTAAATGACACCTTGATTGTGAAAATTAAACGAAAATTGTTGCCTCAGTACCAAACACCCCTACTGCACAGTTTTTTGTGGGACACCATGTATTTCTGGAACATATTCTCGAATGAACACTTTTGAAACATATTCTCGAAAAGATGAAAGAATTTTGATTGTCAATAGAAACAACAATCAACCTATTATAATTCGGAATGAAGATAATACGTTGAACTTCATTGACTTCAGCTTAAATAAGCTTTTCATTGAGTCAAAATCGAAAAGAATAATAATGTGTTCCGGGCTAAAAATCCTGAAAATCCATACAATTTGAGACATTCCGTACATTTTTTGGTAAAAATGAAAAAATCCGTACAATCCGTACATTTTGGGCACCCTGGGGCTGTTGCTCATTTTAAAATTTGATTGTTTCAAATGTGGTGCCACTACAAAAGTATATCTGCTTAAAGAAACAATGAAGTTGATTGTACAAAATTAAAGGCTTAAACAGCTGAACAAAAGAAGATCTTCTACATTATTAATAAGATAAAGGAGTTAATGGATGGAATGATATGAATAGATATAATCTTATTTATAAATGAAAAAATACAACATGATAAAAAAATTTTAAATCACATTACAAATATCCCGCAAAATGTTTATTTTATTTCGACAGGAAGTATTGATGATTCTAACCCTTAGAGACCTAGATGAGCAGTAAAATTTGCTTCGCTTGTTTCTAATCTCAAAAATTTGGAAATTTTGCGAACTCTGAATTTTGTGAAAAATCCGTTTATTGACGACTACTTACTTGAACTTGTTTGAGTCCTTGATGAGGTCTAGGGCTTGGATGAGAGCTAGGTGAGGTTTATCCTCCTTACAGATCTGGAGGTCGAGGTTGAGGTTAGAGGATCTTAATCCAAAACCAGTCTGGGAGGATCCGTACATTCTCACGCGGCATCCTGCAACAACATATTTAAATCTTTCTTTTTTCTTTTCTTTTTTTCCGGCTTTAACATGATAAATTACAGGGACTGTAAGCGTAATCTCTGGTAACCTTCCATGCAAAGATGGCAATGCCTGATTCACAACTGTACCCTTTAAAGCTAAGTCTGATCAAATATGAATTCGAAATCAATGTTTATAATGTTTATTATTTTCCCTTGTAGCTTCTCTACAGAAGTGACTTCCGCATTTCAACTGCAGGAAAACAAATAGGAATTATTAGAATTAACCACTTTTTAAAACCTAGAATATTTTCTACTTTATCGGTCAGATAAAGGTTTCAAGGGTACAATAGAGAATAAGGCATTATCCATCTTTGCATGGAGAGTCACTAAAATTACGCATACAGTCCCTTTAATGTCAACATTTTTTTAAATGTGATGCACCAAATTTGAAGAATTCATCCTTTCAATTTTGGAAAATAATTTAAACACAAGGAAAATTTTCGCGGGTAAAAGAAACAATCAAAAGCACAAAGATGGAGACGACGACGACCGAGTTGTATGTATGTATGTATGTATGTATGTATGTATGTATGTATGTATGTATGTATGTATGTATGTAAAATTACATGAAGGATTCGAAATATACCATTGAGAAAAGACGTTAGATATTTTCAAAGATAAGAAAATTAATTTGAAGAATTTATTTCTCTTTAAAAAAACAAAAATATTGTTGATGCTACTCAGATCATGGGATGAAGATTTAAAGAGTATCATTGTGAATCAGATGAAGATTTGAAGGGTATCATTGTGAATCAGATGAAGATTTAAAGGGTATTATTGTGAATAGGGCTTTTAAATATCTTTTAAATGGAAGGTAATTCGAAGTTACATGGACAGTCTTTTTAGCCTCTTTATCAATAAATCGATAAATCGATAAATCAATAAATCAATAAATCAATAAATCAATATATCAATACATTGATAAATCAATAAGTCGATAAATCGATAAATAAATAAATCGATAAATCAATAAATCAATAAATCAATAAATCAATAAATCAATAAATCAATAATTCAATAAAATCAAAAAATCAAAAATTCTATAAATCGATAAATAAATCACTAATCACTAAATCACTTAATCAATCAAAATCAATAAATCTATGTATCAATTAGTTACTAATAAATCAATCAATCCTTCACCAAATCAATCATTTAATCAATCAATCAATCGATCAATCAATCAATCGATCAATCAATCAGTCAATCAGTCTAACCTGGGAAGGTTTGCTAGGGTTGTATCGATCTCCTTTATCCTTGTAAGCCTACTGTGCCGAGTATCAATGAAATGTTCGTAACACTGAAAACAAATGTTCAATTAATCATCTTATCTACTCTACACATGTTTTAACATATTTGCACAAATTAGAACCTGACAATGAAATTTCTGATTAAAAATCACAAAAACATTAAAAAGGCAGAACATCCTTAAATTCATGGTTCCAGTACAAATACATGTTTTACAAAATTAGTAAATTACCATTATCATGGAATGACACCAATTTCAACCTTTAATTCAACATATTTCTTTTTTTTAATAGTCATTAAGATTTAAGTTCGACATTTTTGTTGAAGAAATAATCTTGAAGAATTCGGACAAACGCAAAAATTATCAAAATGTCAAATTAATTCATTATGAGGATATCACTCCTTACAGGTACTTCAGGCATAATTTCAAGTGAACCTCTCTTTAAAGAATAAAGAGTCACATGCTTTATGCAGATGAGGAAGAAAAATGGCAGAATTAATCTCTTTTCTGTTACCGACAGTTACCTCAATGTTACCCAAACAACGGTTTGAAAATGTACCATGGTAATTCAAGCATTTTTCCTTTAAAATGGAGGATTACTTGAAATAATCTCGACTGTACCTTTGGTGAATATTTAGTATATTGTAACTAACCTTGTTTAGATTATCACAGTGGTACTCGCAGAGATGGCAGAACCACTGTGCACGGAGGAACTTTGTAGATTTCTTCTTCAATGCTCTAAATATCAATCAAAGTTGATTCATTTTCATTTTTTATTTCTTGTTTTGTAAGGAAGAATGTACAAATCGCCGACAAAAACTCGATATCATTTTTGAATTGATTAAATCTTTTGGGGTGCACTAAAAGCGCGGTATAAATATTTCTGTGGAGTAATAAGTAAAGCTACATTTTAAACCTTGAATCATAATTCGAAAAAGTCGAAGTAAAGCTTTTATTTTTTAGTAAAAACATTTTTAGTTGATTGGTACCGGATATATTTCGAGGCGAGGTAATTGACAACAGGTTCTGGAGCAGTGTAATCCTCAGCTCGAGATACTTTACTCTCCTGCAAAATAATAAAATTCAACATTCACAGTTCTCTCCAGAATGGGAGGGTAATGTTACATCGTCTATACGCAACATCCCCCCTACTGAACTTCTGACCTACTAACTTTCCGACCTACTGCAATATCGGACCTACGCCAGCTGTTTATTTTAGTATTATTTGNTGCGGCCACAAGTCAATATAGCAGCTGTAAAACAACGTGCAACTAGGTCGGATGTGTAGTATAGCGGATTCGGCGTAGGTCAAAAGTGGAGTATAGCGGATTTGGGTAGGTCGAAAAATACACCACTATAGGGAGGGAACCCCCGGCCGCCTTAACTCTCCAGATTTGCTTTGCAGCACCGAGCCTCCGCTATGCAGCACAAATTTTATACTAAAACTTTAACAGTTTTTTACGCGAATAGGAAGAAATTGAGAAAAAAGTTCTAAAATGAATTTGATTTGATTTCATTTTATTTGATTATATAAACCTTTGTTTTAAGAAATACCTTGCGTTGATTTAAAAAAAAACTTTAAAAATTCTTATGAACTATAATTTTGCATTCCATTCAATCCTGTCGTCTTAGGACATTAAACATCTCTTTATTTTATGTTTATTCAATTTTACTATTTTTAAGCCTACCTTTTTGATTTCTGAAACAAAAAACTCCTCGATACTCTGGAATCCGTTAAAAGACCCATCGTTCAATGAGTTAACCTAAATTTTTTTAATTCGTCAGTTCCGGTGCAAAGTAATAATATCCAGAGTCCGAATTTAATGAATTTGAGCCGCGTCTCATATCCCAAAAAAACAGGTTTCTTGAAAAATTGAATACAATTTAAGCGGAACCAACCATATTTAAGCTGCGGCTCAAATTTTTTAAATTCGACCTCAAGTAATTTAATAACCAAAAATTCGGTAAACCTCAAAAGTCAGAAAACTTCAAAGTTCACATGACTCGTAAGGGACTTACATACCTGATTCGTTACAGTACAATTGAAATATTTTTCTTAGAAAAGCAAAAATTTTTTGGCTAATCTTTATTTTTCAATTTAAATTCTGAACCTTTCATTTGCGGGTTTTCTGGCTTATTTTTATATCGTAAAATTAAGGATATCTTTTCCTGGTCAAAGAAAAAAAAACTTAATGTAAATAAAATTTATTTTAAATAATTTAATGTTAACCTTAGGTTTCTTTGCTGATCCTTTTTCTCCTGTATGTTTGGGTCCAGTAGGTTTCTGAGAGGGCCTGGATAAATTTAATAACATTTATCTTGAAAATTGAAATGAAAGAATTTTGCATGTTGGAAAAATTCATTTTATATTGCTACTATAAAACATTTTTTCATTTGGCCTTTGGCTTTGATTTAACATTTCTTTTTATATATAATACCCTCCACGCAAAGAGGACTTGATGTCCAATTTACACGCAGTGTACGCTTCATACAATGCTAACTCAACACAGCTGATGCGTCACTTTTTTCCCTTGATCACCAAATATTTTCCATTAAAAGCGGTTTCTAAAAATTCGAAAGAAAATATTCATTTTCTGCTAATTATAGCAAGTGAAAATTATTATTTTTAAAACTTAAAACAGCTCACAAGTGTACAAGAATTAAAAGCGTGTTCGTAGATTAATGAGAATAGGTCAGACAGATAGTCTAACATTTAAAGGGTACCGTTACGAAAAGGACACTGCCATCTTAGCATGGAGAGTCACTTGAACTTGCGAAAACCGTCCCTTGAATATATAATTTCTCCCCCCCCCCCCTCCTTGAACTTTCCTGCATAAATCTAAGCATAAAAAGAAACTTTAAATTATATATATGATATACAATATACATACTTCTCTTTAAGTCGTGGATAGGCTCCAGGTGCAGGTTGAGATGAAACGGTTACTATTTCGGGTTGGATTGAGGTTCCAGGAGCACCTTGAGTAGGAACTCCACCACCTAGATTCAACCCTAGCAAACCCTTTATCTGTTCTTCGATCTTGAGAGAATCCATCTTTCTCTAGTTCATGATTGATCGGTCTGTAATCAATTGTCAGTAACAGGAGTAATGATCCAAAAACACTAGAATCTCCCTTCTAAAGAGCTGGATCCGCACATGTGTCTTCTAATTTCAACTTTTTAAAGAAAAAGTACATGGTATTAGGGCAAATAAAAATAATAGACAAAACATGATATAGCTAGGTTTATGTTGTTTGTTTAATCGATTTGATCATTTTTAGAAAAAAATGATAAACTTCAAAGATTCTAACACTGTATTATCTTATACTTTGATTTTGTTAAACTTAGCAATATAATTGACTTAAAAAAAAGTCCAGAAACGATTTAAAAAAACGATCGTTACGACACGTTCCTTTTGTATCGTTTTTGGATCGTCTTGGGGTCGTTTTTTGCATTCAACTTCTGCCAGGGCTCAAATTTGACATAGCGTAACAAAAACTAATATTTAGAATATACAATTTAAAATATATTTGTTTTTGTTACACTGTAGTAAATTTTGACTCTAAAAGGAAATACAAACAAAAAACGTCCCAAAAACGAACCCCAATGCACATCACTATTTGATAGGGGTATATTTCACGAATTTGGTTTAGTAAATTTTAGGAAAACTGAAGATTCCCATGCTTTTTCAATTTCGAGCTATTACATAACAGACATTTGCATCCTTTTTGAGTAAACTAAACATATATTTATTCACGTTTTCTAATTCAAATCTCAAAATAACATAATTCTGAACAGAGTTTATGATGTTGCAAGTATTCAACGGAATTAAATATAAAAGGTCATTTATGTGTTAAATCAAATATGTAGCTTCTCAATAGCTCGAGTGGAACGAAGACATGTTTTAAACACAGGCAAAATATTTTCTTTAAAGTTGAAAAATCATATTTTAGTCTTGATTTATTGATTTTAACATTTTCTAAATTTTATTTTTGTAATCCCTATATATTTGCAACTTGTTGGTTTTACTTTAAACTATTAATATTTCAAACTGTGATTATTTACTTATCTGGCAGATTTCATAGTTTAAGATATCAAAGTCGATCCAAGACCAGGATGCAAAGATATATAAATTAGAGTGTGAGACAAGTGTTTAGTTATTTTAAGGGTCATTTGAGTAATAATGTACACTTTACTTTGATTGACCTAAAGTGGGATTATTTCCATCAAAATTTTAGAAGTTTAAAATCTTAAAAAAGTTAATGACATATGATAAAAACTAAAAGGTGAGAAAATTGTCTGTCACATTACATGGATTATAATACTGTAATTCCATACATGGATTCTTAGCTCACACTTTTAATCAATTTGAAGTTTTTCTTCATTTCCAATTCACAATGGTACCCTTTAAACATTTAGTTGATCGAGCATTGAGCAACAATGTATTTAAGAAAAAGTCGTTTTTACATTTTATAAGTGTTCGATTTTGAATATTACGTTCTTTGTCTGTGCTGCAAAAACAAGGGTATTACAATTGACTAGGGTCGCTTTAAATGAAGCAAACAGACCCTTTAAAGAATATTTCCTGTATAAGTCTTCTCCTGGTATCAGTTTAAAAAGTGAAATCCAGAAGCATAATGTTACATTGCTGCTTCCCCTTTAATAAAATGGAAAAAATTTCAACATGTACGCATTTTATACTTTATATCCCCGGCTGGTACAGACATTTAAAAACTTTATTGTCCGGTAGGATAAATTCGTATAGAACAAGAAGGAAAACAATTTCAAGGATCATCATAAAATCAGGGGTAAAATCTTTAAACTTTGTGTATAAATACTTTTAAAAACAGCCATTTTGTAACTTGTACAGTAATGCAGTTTACTCTGAAAATACATTATTAAAAAATGGTGGATAAATTAGCCCTGACTTTAGGAATAAAGATGAGATAAGAGGTTGTATAAAGGAAAAAAGCACGGCGAATTTTATGATAAGATGACATAAAAGTTAAATCTAGTAGTATACGCTTCTTATGCTAGATACATGGCCTGTATAATAAAATTTAGCCTGATAAAATCTTTAGGCAGAAAATCACAAAGAAATTGAGATAAGACTTCCATTAGCGCAGTAAACGTATATGTACGCGGCCAGGTTACGTAAATAAACGCCCATATGCCTAGACAGACACGGTTGGATGAGTATAACATATTATTTGGTTAGTTAGTAAATGATTCAAAATATCCTCACATTTATCAAGCCTAGCACAATACTACCCGCCAATCCTAGTTCGTTCCGCGATATTCTCAAACATCATTTTATATCCTTCAGAAACATTTTTTAAAAAACATATTTAAATGTACATAAATATATTAAACAAAATCCCGGACTTTATTAATTTCTAGTAGTTTAGATAATTTCAAAAGATTTCTCCCAAAACTCAAAGCATTATTATTTCTTAAAATTATAGACTTTTAAGGATTGTCTCCTATAATGGAACTGAGTTTTCTAGTCCTTATATCTTTGCAATCTGATGGTGTAAACTTTCCATTTATGTATCTATATATCTATCTATCTCTCTATCTATCTATCTATCTATATATCTATCTATCTATCTATCTATCTATCTATCTATCGATCTATCTAGAATAACTGATCGACTATTCTTATCTCTGAATCAGAATGCTTCTATATTTAAGATATTTAAGAATGATTTAAGCTTGAGCAGATTTAGTTGTAAATTATGTCTCAACTCTGCATCCTTTTTAGGTCATGTATCGTTAGGTTTAACTTGGATAACATATCTAGGGAAAATTATATAAAAAGGTTGAGATTGATGGTTTTAGGTTAGATATATTATCCTAAACCTTTTTGTTCTAATCCTGAAGTTTATTCACCCCCCCCCCATTAGGTTCATTTCAAAATCAGCTTGTCTGATTGACGTATCCTTTACCTGTAAACCTTTCTCTGATGAGTTTGATCGTAAAGACGACGAAGAAAATCTGATTGCTAAGATTGCGGCTTGTAAAGTACAACCATGTGAACTCAACACAGTAGACAAACTTCAATTGTCTAAAAAAGACCTTTAGTTAGACTGCTAACTATTAAGGTTCTGGGGAAATGAAGGTTTACTAAAAGGTTGGGAAATAGTAACATGATACGTATTCTCAAAAGTTAATTTTGCAAGTGCTTTTCAAAACTGTTAATTCTAGATATGTAGTTATGGGCTATTAAAAAACTAGAAGAAGGGGCCCTCTCCCAATTTTGACCATACCTCTCTCCTAATTATTCCCTGTTTTGACCATACCTCTCTCCTAACTCTGTTCTGTTTATACCTCTACTCCAACTCCGTTCTGTCTATACCTCTCTCTCAACCTTGTTCTTTATATACCTCTCTCTCAACTCTGTTCTGTATATACCTCTCTCTCAACCCTGTTCTGTCTATACCTCTTCCAACCAAATTATGACTTTGCTTCGGTCCCAAAAGAAGATGAAGGGGTTATTTTTTTCCTCTAAACTATAATTAAAAAATTCATCAAATCCTTTTTTACTTTTTTCGGGAATTTTTTCGTTGAAGAAAAATTATCGTGTTTACTGTTAAGCCCTGCTAAACGTTTGGCACAGGCTCAGTTTAAAAGAATGTTCCAATCTTAAACATTTTAAATGTATTTGATTTAGAAATAAATTTTGTTCATAAGTCATACCATTGTAGCAAAATTGACCATTTGATCATGCTTTTGTTTAAAGAAAACATTTCTTTTTTACCCAACTTTTTTTTACAATATAAAGTAACCAATTGTATACAGTGGTGCTCAGGTGCATTGACGATGATGTCGATATTAACTGTGGACGCCTTTAATTCGAGGTTCTATGCTTAATCACTTCATTTCAGTTAGCCCTGCAGGGTACGATGACCATGTGGTATATCGAATAGAGATTTAATTAATCTGCAGATTAACAAAGGATCGAGATCAAACATAGATCTCGATATCCACAATACTAGGGTTTCTAGCTCAGCTTGCTGATGTTTTATGTTGATTGGACTATATAACTGTACTTAACTACAGAAAATTCTTATAAGGTAACCTTTTATCCTGTATCCCAATTAGGTTATGCTTATGAAGCATACAGTTGTTTTATCCTCATAGTCATCTTCCACAAAAGACTTCCAGGACTTCCTCCACCCTCTGGACTCCATGGACTCCCTCGACCCTCTGGACTACCTAAACCCATTGCATCTCTCCTTGCATCTCCCCCAAAAGACTTCCTGGACTCCCTCGACCCTCTGGACTCCCAAAACCCAATGCATCTCTCCCTGCATCTCCACCAACTTACCAAGATAAACCTTGGAATTATTAAAGAGTATCTGTGTAAACTGTAGATACATGTGTAAATGTTTAATAAACAGCTGTAAGAGAGAAGGTCAACCTGGCAAAAAATAAAAACATTCTTTTGCGACAGTTATTATCGTTTTTACCCAAAAATGAAGGCAGGGGGTGTATCTTTAATCTATGTGCACGTATACTTACTAAACGCACGCGCACATACATGCATACAAGCATAAATTCAGCTCAAATATCTCAGGACATAAAAGGTTAAGCTCGGAGCTTAGAGATATAAAATTGTAATCTTGAAGATGATGAGCAGGGTAGTTATATAATATATATACCTATAGAGCTAGGTTATATATATACCTAGAGCTAAGTTATATATACCTATAGAGCTAGGTTATATAATAAATATACCTAGAGCTAGGTTATATTTACATATAGAGCACTAGGTTTTATATATATATATATATATATATATATATATATAACTAAACCTAGAGCTATGGTTGTATATACATAGATCGAGCTAGGTTATACATATATATATATATATATATATATACCTACAGAGGTTATACATTTATATACTTAGAACTAGGTTATATATATATATATATATATACCTACAGAGATAGGTTATACATTTATATACTTAGAACTAGGTTATATATACCTAGAGCTAGGTTATATTTACGTATATAATGTAAGGTTGGTAAGCAACATGATATAACTAGGCTGGAGATCTCGATGCTAAAACTTGTGTGGTAATCTC